GTGCTAGAGGGCAGAGAGCGCAGAAGCAGAAGGGATTTGGGGGCTAGTTGGTGCTCACGGCTACAGCCAGCCCCATCCTGCTCTGCAGGGTGAAGGGTCGAGCTGGAAATCAGTGGGTGGAGCTGAGACTACATCACCCACCAGGTAATGGTGACATCCTTGTCCCCACGCAGGCCAGTGTCCCTGCCCATCAGCAGGGGCTGGAGATGTCAGGGCTGCTGCCCCTGGGCATTTTCCACAGAGGACAGGGCTGCAGCTGGGACCCCATCCTACTGTGGGACTGAAGTCCCAGGAATTCAAAGGGGCAGGTGTCCCCCTTTCTAGGAGTCACCCCTTTTGGGGACAATCAGCTTGGGCACCAATATTCAAAACCCATTTTACAGCCTCCTGGCTACAGGAACGACATGAGGGCCCAGAGCCCCTAAAGGAAAATGGCCATTTTGAAGGAGTGTAGTGTTTCAGCCAAGATTACAGTTCTTCAAGGCAACCCAGGCTGCAAATGCTCCATGCACAGCATGATTCCAGTACTGGAATGTCCCAGAGGTGGGTCTCACTGGCCGTTGGGGCGTGTTTAGGGCCACACAAGAGCGGGACATGCCAGCCGTTGGGGCAGGTCCCCGGGCACTGGCCCGCGGCCAAAGCAAACCCCAGCTGCGGAAAGCCCGCACGGCATTTCCCTCGGCACTGATAAGGCTGAGCTGCAATCACAGCCACAAAAAAAGCTGTGCCGGCCTTCCCCCGTTAGCCAAGTGCTGTGCCAAGCACATCGAGGATTGACCAGGACAAAAGCCACGCCTGCTGTGCTGCACAGGCACAGAATGTCACCTGCGGCCAGCGGCAGCAGAGGGGACAGGAGAGGAGGGCTCCGTGCACCTGGACTGGGGCTGGGCCTGCAGGGCTGTGCTGGGGACAAGAGGGTCACTGTCGCCCTGATTCTTGAGTTTTCTAAAGCCTTCTGAGTTTACATTCTACTGGGAAACTTTCCCACACAGTTTCTGTAAATAACGTGTTGTTTTGCACTCCTTCATAAAGGTAGAGAGACTTAATATACAGTAGTTTGTCCAATGTCTTTGGAGAGGTGGCCCATTCACTCTCCAATCCACTGTCACCTTTAGAAAAGTATAAAAGTTGGAGTCAGAAAATAAACTTTCTCTTTTACCTTGCAAAGTAGCAAGTGGCTCGCGTTGTGCTTTCTCGTGTCCTATAGTGACAGGTCACATACCTCAGTGGAAGGTAGCGGGAGGTGGATGGAGCAGGAGGTCCCCAGGGAGAGGGTGTCACTGAGGGTGGTCTGTGTTAGGTGCAGGTGTCTCAGCACAGCCCTAACCCAGGTTCAAGGGGGTCTCCAGGAGGTGACAGATGCCGGGAAATGGCAAGGCAGGAGGCTTTTGGCAAGGAGTTTGTGTGGTGATTGTCCTGCTGTCAGGCTTTGGCTTCCCCCAGTGGCTTCAGCCCTTTCCCTGCCAGCTCAGCTGGGTCTGAGCACCACATGTGCACCCACAGCTCCTCGGGGACCCTTCCCCAGATCCCACACTGCTGGGGAAGTGGCTCCAGCTCCACTCGTGGGCTCTTTGTTTTGCTGCAGCATCTCAGGGAGGAAGGTTCTAAGCAGAGAGGTGATGAGAGGAAACGAGCTTTCTGTTCAGTCCCAAACCTGCAGGCAGAAAACAAGGACATCCTGCTGGGGTGGCTGGGCAGGGACGCTGTGCCTGTGGGGCAGCATGCTGGGCTAGGATATTGCTGGCAATGACACCCTTTCCTACAGGGATTAGACCAGACAGAGCCTCACAACTTTTGCCTCTGGTCCCATACCCTGCCCAGCCTGGCCAGCTTGTTCAGGGGGCCATGGAGGGGGTGGTGGAGCAAGGAGCCAAGCTTAGGTAGGCTTGGTGGAGCTGGAGTAAGCAGAGATGAACTCAGGCAGCCAGGAGATGGCTGGAGTACGTCTGATCATCTGTTTCCCAGGTGCACCCTGAGCATGCACTGCTCCTCCCTACCATGGGCCACCACTGGCCAGTCTGGACACCCAGGACTTCAGAGCCCACTGCCTCAGAAAGGACCAGGATGCTCCTGCTGCCCATGGGGGAGACCAGGGTGCCCAGGGGTCAGGATCCCACCACCTAGGGAACAAACAGAGTCACCCAGAGCTGCAGCAAGTGGAACACCTCACGGTGCACCACATGGGGCTGCAGACTCGTCCCACCAGCATCTACAGCAGCATTTCTCAGGGTCTCTCCATCCAGGAGCCATCTGAATGACACAGAAAGACAGCAAATGCATGCTTGTAGCCTGCCAAAAGCCTGGACAAGCTTTGTGCGTTTTTTCACGTGCCAACACCACGCAATGCCTGTGCTGTGTGCAGAGGGACAGAGATGCAACCTGTTCTGTCAGTCTGCAGTCACCTCCAGCTCCTGGGGCTCTGCTCCCAGCACACTGTGGAGAAGCACCCAGTTGTGCTGGTGTGAGTCACAACACATTTCCTACTGCTCTGATGGGAAAAGAGGCACAATCACATTCACAGTCCCAGTAGAGACTGACAGAGAGAAAAGGATTGGGATTCACAAGGAAAGTAACTTTTTGAGACCTTCTTCTGGACCAAAAAAAGCTTTTTAGTAGATCTGATTCTATGAAAACTCATCAGCTCCTGGAGCTGTTTGTTCAGATGGACACTTTTACACGGGTCAGGGCAGATTTCAATGGCCATTGTAAAGAAACAGCTATACCAGACCCAAAAACGATGCCATGAAAGTCAGCAGAGCCCCAGACAGCTGAATGACAGCACACTACCACCAGGAAACGACCGAGGGTTTTTTGGCAGAACTGCCCCTACAAGAGGAACAGAAGCCCTCCCCACCCCTCCATGCAGGGTTATGGGAGAGATGCTGAGTACAAGAGCTTGGTCCCACGCTGTGGAAGCCCCTGGTCCTTACTTGTATCCTTTCCCAGGCTGAGCATCTGTGCATCTTTCACCCACGCAGGCACCAGTCCTAACACCCACAACCTCACAGCCACACTTTGGTTAACCCAGACCTTGGCACAGTGTGGATGCAGCTGCTGCCTTTTGCCTCCAAGCCTGAGCTCAGCTGCCTGTGCTGGGCCAGCAGCTGCCACAGCTCGGGCAGGTCCTGGATCAGCGTCCCTGGTGTGGGGTGAAGACACCACCCTGGTGTCCAGCCAAAGCTGCAGAACCACTTTGCTCCCTGTGATCTGCTCTTGGATGCAGATGGGATTTACATAGGGTGTGAACACCAACCAGCCCAGGTGAGTTCTCTGGCCGTGGCCTCATATTTGAGTCCCACGTCGTTTCTGCAGAAAACAATGAATATTAGAAACAAGGGCTGTCCCTTTGGTTTGATTCTTTTCAGTGACCAGAAGTTAATGCCAGGGGAGTCTCATCCCTACATGGAATAATATCATCCCTCTTGTTCAAAGGCTGCTGGTGAGTCTCAGCCTGGAAATATTTCTGAGCTGCCACAGATTTGTGATCCACCACCACGTTCAGGGAGCCCCAGGGCTGTATTTCTTTGGTGGTGCTGGGTTGTTTTTAGTCTGCTCACTCTTCCCCAGCTCAGCCCCTGTGCTGGGTTGGCAGCAGTCATGTGGGGGCTGGCACCCACAGAGCCGTGGTGACATCACTTTCCCAAGCTCATGTTTCCTCAACTCCTCCTTTGTTGTTTTTTTCCCTTTGCAGGGAGGAAACTAGAATTGCTGCCTGGAGGTGGGTGACATTTTTGTCAGATGTCCAAGAGCAGAAGTGAGGGACCTGGATGTGAGCCCATCATGGAACTCTGAGCCAGGATGTGGGGCATGAGCATCACAGCCCAGCTGGGCACTGCTGGGACTTGGCTCATCGCCCCAGACTTCACCTTTCCTGACCTGGACAGAGAAGGTAAAGCCACACTGCAGGGGACCCAGGCCATTGCTTCTCCAAGCAGCCAGAGTATCATCAAGAGCAGTGCTATTCCAGACCTGCTTTGGAAACCAATTGCGGGCGTGAAATCACCAAGTTCATTACCACAGGATGCTGAGGAGGCCAAGTATGCAAATGAATTGGAGAGGGAAGAGGTCTGTCAGTGGAGGTAGATTCATTAGAGCTATTAAGGTACTTCCGTCCGGATGCAAACCCTTTCCCAGGAAGTCCCCAAAGTGCCCGCCAGCAGCTGGGAGGGACGTCGGGAAGCGCATCTTGTTTCTCCTGCTCTTCCCGTGAGTAGTGTTACAGAGAAGTGCCAGATATGGAAAAATACCCGTGAAATTCAGAGCTGAAAAGGAAAGAAAAAGCAGCAAAAATTTTTGCTGAGGGTTTCAGCGCTGAAAAGGACCGCAGCAGTTAGTGAGGGCAAGCTGTAAGGTGGGGAATGGCCGGGGTCCTTACAGGGTGGGGGAGAGCCCAGAACTCGTGGCTCAGCGACCAGCACGGGAAGCAGGCGGGGAAGAAAGCTGGCAAGAAAAGGAGACAGACAGCCGCTGCTGGGACAGGGAGGGCTGCCAGAAACCCAGCGGGGCCAGGCCCGGGGAGCCCGGCCAGGCCCAGCGGCGCACTGCTCCCGGCCGTGGGTGGGACGAGGGCAAAATGCGAAGGTGTCTGTGCTGGGGGAGCACGGTGGGGCAGGGAGCTGGAGCCCAGCCATCCGCTGGGGCTGAGCTCAGGGCAGAGGGTACCCCAGTGTCGGGGTGATGTGGGCAGAGCATCCCCCTTTCTGCAGGGTGACCGTCCCCCTTTCTGCGGACAGGTTAGCGAGAGTCCCGTCCCCAGGGTGACGGCAGTGGGCGCACCCCATCCCCGGGGCAGCCAGGAGAGGGGAGCTGGGGTGACAAGGGTAAGGGACCCCCCTTCCCCCAGGCGGCAGGAACGGGGCACATCGCACCCCGGGCGGCCGCGGGCACAGCGATATCCCCTCCGCGGGCGGACAGAGGGGCGGCGGTGCCGAGGGCGAGCGGCGGGGGCGGTGCCCGTCCCGTCCCGTCGGGCCCGGGGCCGCTCCCGCCCGCCCGCCCCGCCCCGGCCGCTCCCGCCCTCGGCCCGGGGCTGCGGCGGGCAGCGCCGCGGAGCAGCCCGAGAGTCCCGGCCCGGGCTGTGTCCGGGCTGCAGCCCACGAGTCCGGCAGCACGGTGAGGGACGGCGGGGACCGGGCGGGGACCGGGCGGGACGGGCCGGGCCCGGCGGCGGCGGGGGGAGCTCGGGCCGGCGGCGGCCCCGCAGGGCCCCGGACGGGCCGCGCTGGAGCCCCGCGGCCGCGGCGGGATGGGGCGGCCCCGGCATGCGGCTCCGCCCGAGCGGCCCCGGCGGCGGAGCGGGAGGGGAGCGGGGCCGGGCTGGGCCGGGGCTGCCCCCTCCGGCTGGCGGCGGCGGGACTCCCCGAGGTCCCCGGGGCTGGGGACGGGCTGTCGCCCCGACGTGCGGTTGCCCGGAATGTGCTGCTGGCACCCCGGGGTGCTGGGCATCCCCCGAGGGTGCCGGGAGCCCCGAAGGTTGGGGGTGCTGGTGGACTCCCCGGGGACTGTGGAACTGCAGGGCTGGGGGTTCTGGCAACTCCCGGAGGTCCTGGGGCCCGCTCCAGGCTGGGGGTGCTGTGGGCTCCCCGGGGGCTGGGACACGGCACCCCCGGGTGCTGCAGGCCCCTGTGCGGTGCTGAAGGGCCCCGGAGCGCTGCGGGGCTCGGGTGCTCCGGCACGCAGTGCAGATCCCACCGTGGCGTTGTGCACAGCGCTGTGTGTGTACCCCAGCTGTACCTCGGCTCCCCGATTATAAATTTAGTTTGATCTCCGAGCCCCTCCTCACAGCAGGACAAGCCCAGGCCATCGCTGCTGATGCGTTGTTAGCAGCCCCAAGGGAATCGGGAGGTGTTGGTGGAAGGTGCTGCTGGGCAGCTGTGGTGAGGAGGGTGCGAGGAAAGGGTTTGACGTTCTCTAGTGAAGCTATAGCGCTGTAGGTGTGAGGGGGCTGGTAGAGCTGATCCCCACGTGTGTAAGTCTGTGTGTGGACTCTACACCTGTAGTCTGTGAGGCCAGGGAGGTCCCTGAGGGGCTGGAGTGGCTGCAGAGCCTGGGCAGCCCCTTTGGCCTCCCAGCAAACCAGGCCATTGATGACGACAACTCCAGAAATAACAGTCCAACCCTAAATTAGGCTGTTGAGATGATCAATTCCCTTTCCCTGGGTCAGCATTGTGCATCCACCCACCTGGATTCAGGTCCTGCAGGAGGAGTTCCAGCACAGACAGCATGGCCATGGTGGCCTGGGCAGATAGGCACAGGCCCTCCCATGCATCCCCTGCAGCAGGGGACAGGGACAGGAGGGTGTCATGAGCCCTGGATACCTCCTGCTGCACCCAGCCACAGTGCTGGCAGGTAACACTGCAGGTGACAAGCACATGTGACAGCTGACAGTGCGAGGAGCCCGAATCCTGGCAGGCTGCTGGCAGTGGAGGAAGCTGTGTGCTTGCTCAGTGGTTTCCCTTTAACTTTGGAACAGCCTCAGTTCCAAGCTTCAGGGCTTATCGCCTGCTCAGCTACGAGGGAAGCATGCCTGGCTGAGATAAATCAAGTTGCATTGGCCAGGGCTGCTCTGGACTCTGTTCTTCTCACATTCCTCATGACCTCAGTATTTTGGCTGAGGAGGAGAGCCAGGGAGAACCCTGCCTGTGTCCAGCCCCGGCCCTGCCGGTGAAGCAGCTCGGGCTGCCCTGCAGCTTGTGGTTGAACTGGGCTGAGGGCTGCTACAGCTGTGGCCCCAGGGAGGAAAAGGGCCCAAAGGTCTCAAGCTTTAGGAACAGCTCCCTCAGACCTCTCCTCTGCCAGTCCAGGAGCTTCAGAACCCCCAGGGGAAATCGCCCCATGAAGCCAGGGATCACAAGGTGCTGCCTGCAGCTGGAGCTGGGGCATGAGGCCCGGGTGGTGCCTTGGCTGTGCCAAGGTGTCCAGCTCCCTCATCCCTGACATGACTTCTGATTATAATCAAGCAGAGCAGCTCCAGTTTTGGCCCCAAGTTTCCCATGTTGGCATTGGTACAACAGCACGAGAGGAAAATACAGGTGTGAGCCCAGGGCAAAGCATAGCCCTGCCTCCACAGGGGTGGTTGGATGCCTGTGCATCCTCCTTCTCTTCTCCTCGCTGCCAAGCCTCTCTACCAGTCCTTTGCTTGTACCATCCTACTTTTCTGTTGAAACACCAGTGCTAGAAACAACACTTTTATTACTTCCAAAGAGAGTTGGGATCATGTAAGGGCTTCCCCCAGGGATCCATGTGCCCAGATCCTTCAGCAATCTGCACCAGTGCCCAAGGGAGCAGCTGAAGCTGCTGAAAATCAGCCTTTGGCCCCAAAGTGGCTGGTATAATTGGCCCCAGCAAGACTTCAGCCCAGGTGGAGGGCGGCTGCCTGAGCGGTGCCATGGTTGTGACAGCCAGGTCCAGCTGGTGGTGACAGTGCCTGGGCCACGGGTGTGGGGACTCAACCTGCTGCAGACTGGGACCACCTGCCCCCACTTGTCCAATCCAGCCCCACACCTCTTCCCCAGTCCAGGGACAGTTTGCACAGCCCGAGGACCCTGGGGGGGTGTTTGCACCTTGCAGGGGGGTTTGAACATCCTGGGGTCCCTGGGGCCACTTGGACATGGTTGGTAGCTGGCAGGTCCCATCACCATTTTTGGAGCTGGGTGAAGATAGAAACTCATGCCCTGGTCCAGCCCATCCTGTCAGACCAAAAGAAATGGGGTCTGGAAGCAGTGGGAGGATGTCCCCCACAGTTGGGATGCAGATGCTGACAGTGGCTGAAGGGGACATAGGAGATGGCAGGAGAAAAGCAGCCTGTCCCCAGCTCAGTGCAGTGCTGGTGCAAAGTGCACCTTTGCTGCTGGAGTGGTGTGGGAGGTTTCCAGGCCTTGGCAGAGGAGGCTTTTCCTGTCCCCAGGCAGGACAATACCCAGGCTGGGCGGCGGAAGGGAGCTGCCGGCCACTTCCCCCCCGAGGAAACGCTCCCGCTGGCTCTGGCTCCTGTTGCTCTCTCTTCCTCTTTGATTTACAACGTGTGTGGAGCCCAGCGGGAAGTTTGTCCTGGCCCCAGCACTGCTTAATTACCTGCAGTAAGGGCCGTGCAGAGGAGGAAGCCAAACTCTTCCCAGGGTGGGAGGGATTAGAGGAGGTGGGGGATGCGTGGGACCCTCTTGGGCATGAGGCCAGCAGCTTGGGAATGGTGATGCCAGCATGGAGCCGGGATGTTCCCAGGGAAGGTGGAATGGGTGCCTGCTCAAAGGTGGGATGATTCTGAGGGAGGTGGAATTTGGGATGTGCATCAGCTGTGGGTGGTTTGGCAGAGGAGTAGGAGAGCCCCAAAATCTGTCCTGGTGGCTCGTGGCGAGTGTCTTATCTCTGAGCAGTTGGACTGGCTGGCCTGGCACTGCCTCAGCTGCTCTGCTGGCTCCACAGGGCCAGGAGGGCCAAGGGCTGGCAGCTGCAGCGCCAGGGCCGGGGAGTGGCTGCAGCATCGGCATGAGGGGCAGACGTGGGTGTTTCTGTGCAGCCAAAGGCAGATCCTGCACCGTTCCCCGGGCAGATCTGAGCCTCAGCTTCCCTGAGGGCTGTGCCCAAGCCACCATTCCACTGTGGCATTCCTCCTCCCCTGCTTTCCTCTGAAAATAGCTCAGTGCCAAATGCTTTGCCCACCACCAGCTGCTCAGCCCCATGGGCACAGTCATCAGAACTCTAGTGCCATGCACAGCAGTAATGGGTGCTCCCAAGGTGCTGTTGTCCCATCCTGCTCCTGCCAGGAGCACTTCACACCTGGGACCCACCATCCAGATGCTGCCAGATGTTGCAGCAGGTCCTAGCTCAGTGCTCACAGCTGGTCACACCCCCAGTCATGAGCTCACTTCTGGACCACGGCCATACCCTCTTGGCCCTCCTCCAGTGTGTTCATGCCTGGCTCCTGGGAAACCCAGGCTCCCATTTCATTCCCGTCTGCCTTATCTCACATTATGGACAGAGGAGAGCAGTCAGGTCCCTCCTGGGGGTCACTGGACTCTCAGGACACCTCTGAGTTCTTGTGGGGCACCCTGGGTGGCAAGAATGGGCATCACACCCAGCACTGACAGGTGCTGGCAGCTCCCTGCTGTCACGTGCCTTTGCCAAAGCATCGCTTCCCTTTATCCCAAGCAAACTTCACACTGAGTATTACATCTATACAGGTTTCAGCATCCTTTTTTTCCTGGCCAAGCTCCAACTCGTGACCCTTGGAGCTGGCAGCACGGCCATCCCAGCTGAGCTGTGGAGCATTCCTTAAATGCACAAACAATCCTGGCCCCACAGACAGCACCGCGCTCACCCAGCTCCAGTGTCAGCCCTGGGCTGGGGGAGGCCAGGGGACCTGGCAAATGGCAGGGGGCAACCAGAGGGCTCTCCCCAGGTGGGGGTCAGGGCTTTGTGGCTGCCTGGGGCTCACCAGCCCTGGGGTCACAGGGTTTGGCTGGATTGGTCTCGTTGCAGGTCGATGGTCTTCTGGTCAGCAGCATTCCGGGAAGAAGATGGCTCAGCCAGCACCCTTGAATCAGAACCTCCCAGGTAAAGAGAGCAGGGTTGTCACCAGGTAGTGACAGTGCAAGGGGTGCAAGGGGGGTGGCAGGGCTGAGCTCTCCTGTCCCATCCCAGTGGAGTTCCTCACTCCAGCACCAACCCTGACATGGACTGTGTGCCCTGTGCTACCCTATGGCACCAAGGGTGCTGGAGACAGACACATCGCACAGCATGGAGGAGACGGGCCCGCAGGCTGTAAATTCCAGTACAACCCAGTAAGAAAAGCCAGCCTGTCTCCACTAACCATCCCTTCTCTTGTAGATCTTGGGGGCCCATTCTTGTACCAGGACCAGGACGATGGAGAGAAGAGCTCATATTCTGTGGAAACCCCTTATGGCTTCCTGCTGGACCTTGATTTCCTGAAATACGTTGATGATATTGAAAGTGGCCAAACACTCAAGAAAGTGCCACTGCCTCGCAGGCTGAAAGGGTCCCGTCCAACGCCCAGCACCCTGCGCAGCCCCAGCAGCCACACCAGCGCCTGGACCTCCACCGAGTCCCTCACCTCCACGGCCAGCGAGGAGGGCAGGACTGCGCTGCTGCTGTCCCCGCATGGCCGAGCACCCCTGGAGCCTGTGAGCAAACCAACCTCCCACCCCATCTCACCGCCGCCAGTGCGGCTGCTCCCACCTCCCACCCGCAAGTGCCTCGTGCCAAACCCACGGGTGGAGAAGACCTTGCTGGAGACAAGCAGGAGGCTGGAGCAGGAGCAGGGCCGATTGCAGGATGGTGGTGGTCCCTCCCACGCAGGCCAGCCACCCCACTGGGTGCCAGTGGGTGCTGAGGGCCAGGCGGGCTGGGGCCGGGTGAGCCCCGGCAGCTCAGGGCGCAGCACTCCTGCTGCAGGGCTCAGCACAGCCCCGCTGCAGCACGTGCGGGAGCAGATGGCTGCAGCCCTGCGGCAGCTCCGAGACCTGGAGGGGCAGGTGAAAACCATCCCACTCCTGGAGATGCAGATCTGCGAGTTGAAGAGGGAGAAGGCAAAGTTGCTGGAGAAGCTATCGGCAGAGCCTGGCGAGGCATTGTATCACCCCTCTGAGGGTGGGGCAGGGGGTGAGGAGGCGCCCCGCACGGGGCCAGAGAGCGAAGCAGAGCCAGTGAAGGGGCGAACGAGCAAAATTGCAGAGCTGAGGAAGCTGACAGAGAAGCTGGCTGTGCCAGAGCGGAACATCAGGGCTTGGCCAGGCAAGAGCCCCAGGGTGGCTGACCGGCCGTGCCGCTCCGTGGCAGTGGGGGAGGATCGGGCCATGACAGACGCCGTCTTCTACTACCGGTCGCTGCAGGAGAGTGGGGACACGCCAGATGGAGGCACACAGGGACGCAGGGATGTGTCTGTCTGGGTGATGGAGTCCTCGCTGGGGCTGCCCACTGAGGCAGAGCGGGAGCTGGAGCTGCTGCAGCAGACGGTGGCGCACCAGAAGGAGGTAATCGCCCTGATGGAGGGGCACCTGCAGGAGGCCACGCGGGAGCTGGAGGAGCTGCGGCTGGAGGTGTGCGCCCGCCGGCCCCGCGCGCAGGTGGACAAGGAGGTGATGGCCATGCCCCAGGTGGCTGAGGCACTGGTGGAGGCTGTGGTAGTGACACAGAGCCGGGCAGCCGGTGACTCCCCAAAGACGGCGGAGGCAGGTGTGGAGTGCTGCCCCCTGACCTCCTGTGTGGCCGTGGGCTGCCGCCCTGACGGGCGGGACGTGGCGGTCGGACCCGACTCAGCTGCCAGCTGTGATGACAAGGGCAGCCAGACAGATCTGGGCAGCATTGTCCTGGCAGGAGAGGAGAAGGAGCCTGGTGTGGGTGAGGTGATGGAGCCTGGCCTGGATGATGGCCTGAGCAGCCGCTCAGTGCTGGGTGCAGGAGCAACGGGGCTGATGTCCCCTGTCAGCCAAGGCCCTGGGCCAGCTGTGCTGGAGATGACACACGGCAACTGCGACCCAGCCCCAGCACAGGACACTGGAGCTGCCCCGAGCCCTGCAACCGGTGAGTGTCACCAAGGATGATGCCAGGGTCTGGGTTGAAATGTTCTGCAGGAACGGAGAGGATGGCCTTGTTGGGGACAATGCCTGCAGGGCCAATGCTGCCCAGTGCTCCAGCAGTTGCCCATGTCCCTTCCATGCCTGCCCGCAGGTCTAGTGGGTTTGGGGTACTTGGCTAGCTCCAGGAGAGACTGTTTACAAGAGCATGTAGTGGCAAGATAAGGGGGAGTGGTTTCAAAACGTAGCTTTAGATTAGATATTAGGAAAAATTCCTTACTGTGAAGTGGTGATGCCCTGGCACAGGTTACCTAGAGAAGTTGTGGATGTCACATCCCTGGAAGTGTTTAAGACCAGGTTGGATGGAACTCTGAGCAACCTGGTCTAATGAAAGGTGTCCCTGATCACGGCAGTGGAGTTGAAGTGAGACGATCTTTAAGGTCTCCTCTAACTCAGAACATTCCATGATTCTAAAATTCTATGATTCTTGCTCACTGGCCCTTGATACTCATCTCTTTCCCTGCAGGAGCCCTGAAGTCCATCATGAAGAAGCGAGATGGTCCTCCCCGGGGCGAGGCAGAGGGCAGCAAGAAGAGCCTGCAGTTTGTGGGCGTGCTGAACGGGGAGTACGTGCCCAGGGGCTCCTGCCACCCCCGTGAGCCAGTCTTGGTCCCCTGCATCCCTGTCCTGGGCTAGGACCAGTGGCAGGGCCTGAAGGGGGCCAGACTGGTACTGTGTTTTAACTGAGCATCCTCCCTCTGTGCAGGTATGAGAGCACATCCAGTGAGGAGGAAGAAGAAGCAAACAGCTCCTCTGAGAAGGCTTCGGCTGACAGCTCCAACAGTTCAGAGCAGGGAGACACCGAAACCTCAGAGGAGGAGGCCGAGGAAGGCATGTGTGAGCCCAGACTGGAGTCCAAGGGGACTGATGGGAGCCCGCTGGAGCCCCCCGAGGTGAAGGAAAAGTAAGTACCAGTGGAGAAGGCTCCCTGCTCCCTGGCTCTGCTCAGCTGGGAGCCATGGCAATGGCCCTGCCAGCTTGGGGCATCAGTCCCAGTTTCAGTGCTGCCAGCGGGAAAAACCCATTCAGCTGCAGAGACTATTCATCAGGAAACAATCCTTCCAGTTTCTTGGGTCTGCTAAGGAAAGGATGAGAGGCTCCAGATGCTTCTTTGCTGCAGAAGATAGTTTAGAGGGGAACAAAAAAAACCCAACAGCCTTCAATAGCATTTTTCAACAAAAGGAAAAAATGTGGCCTAAGAATGGGCGACTTGTGCCTGAGGACATCCATATAAGGCTCCGTCCTGTGGTGGTTTGCAGAGGCAGAAGCAGCCGGGGTGCAGCCATCGGATTGGGCTGGAGGTTGCACTCTGGGAACCTTGCAGAGAGTTACAGGCACTGGGGACCTCACAGGTTTGGTGGGGTGATGTGGCCCCACACCACAGACATCCTCATGCTCTCAACAGGTTCGAGCTGAGTCCCAGGATGAGGGAGGCCTGTCTCATTGTCAAGACCCACCTGGGCCACCCAGGTGCTGCCAAGAGCAAAGAGGTGGTGAGTGGAATTCTGGGGTGGGATGGCTTGCCCAGCCCCTGCCAACATCCCCAGAGCTGGCCCTACTCAGAGAGGGGCCGGCAAAGCCTGGCTCAGCACCTTCCCCCAAAATACAACCCTTTGCTGCAGGTTTTGTCCAGAAACCCCAAAACGCACGTGGACTCAGCTCAGGCCATGCTCAGCATGTGTTTGGGCAATTCAGGGTCCTGCCTTCACCCACCCCCTCTGGAGCAGGGATCCTGCTCCCTGCCACCTGGGCTGGCAGCAGCGGGGTGCCAGGGTGCGAGGGCACACAAAAGCTTAGGGGGAGCTCAGCCCCTCTCTGCCCACAGCTCGCCAGCAGCAGCCTGGTCCTGCAGGAGTGGTTCCGTCTGTCCAGCCAGAAGTCGTCCATCCCTGACACAGTTGCCAACCATCTCCTGGCCTTTGCCGAGGTCTCACCGGCTCTCCTGGCCCACGTGGTGAACCTGGCAGACGGGAATGGCAACACAGCTCTGCACTACAGTGTCTCCCACTCCAACTTCCACATCGTGTGGCTGCTGCTGGATACGGGTCAGTGCCTCCCAGCCCCAGAAACATCTCCTGGCCACCATCCCACTGTACCCCAGGTCATGTCCTGGCCCTGACAGCAGAGGGGCGAGGAGAGCTGCCCTGGGCTGTGTCTGTTCGTAGGTGTGGGGTCAGTAGTCGCCCCAGCCCATTTGGGAGCCCAGATTTCATGGGGCAGACCCATCAGCACTTCTGTGCCTGTGGGAAGGTTCACAGCACCTTGGGCAAGACTGGGAGGGGGAGACAGGCACATGGCTTGGTCCATGTCTCCCGCCAGCCCTGCAGCACTCTGAGCCCCCTCTGCTGACTCCCACAGGGATCTGTAACGTGGACCACCAGAACAAAGCTGGGTACACCGCCCTGATGCTGGCAGCACTGGCAGCCGTTGAGCAGGAAGAGGACATGAATGTGGTCAGGAGGCTTTTCAGCATGGGCAACGTCAATGCCAAGGCCAGCCAGGTTGGTATGGTGTGAGGGACACCATATCTTGACCCTCCACACCCTCAGGCAGATGGCAGAGCCACACTCAGCTCTTCCAAGGGCAGGACAATGGCTCCAAACCCTGGAGGTGTCAGTGCATGGGGAGGGCATCACCTTAGGAGCTCCTCCTGCCTGGCAGCAGGGCTGTCACAGCCGTGGGGACAAGTGGGTAGCAGAGCGGGGGCAGCCTGGCAGTGTCCCTTCCTTGCAGGCTGGCCAGACGGCGCTGATGTTGGCTGTCAGCCACGGCCGGCAGGAGATGGTGGAAGCCCTGCTGGCCTGCGGGGCCAACGTGAACCTGCAGGACGAGGAGGGCTCCACCGCGCTGATGTGCGCCTGTGAGCACGGCCGCCTGGAGACCGTGAAGCTGCTGCTGGCTCAGCCCGCCTGCGACATCTCCATCGTGGACAGTGTAAGGTTCTGCCACTGGGCTAGGCAGCCCATGCTGTGTCCTGTCCCCAAAGCCCTTTCTGCATGCTCTCCCTTACTTTCTAGGATGGTAACAACGCCGTTGCCATCGCGCTGGAGGCTGGTCACGGTGACATCGCTGCGCTCCTCTCCGAACACCTCAACAGCACAAAGGTGCAGGTACCCGTGAGTACCACATCACTCCCCACCGGAGGGGAGAGGGCTGAGAGACAGACCAGTGTCTCCAGGAAGAGGCAGCAGGAGCAAGAGTAGAGCAGTACAGGTGCCACGTGCTCAGAACAGCCCTGCAAGCCCTGACCAGGAGTCACTGGAGGGGTCTCAGGCAACTACTCTCTCTGCAGCATGGGACTTCACCAACAGCCACGAAGCCCTGGGAGTCCAAAGAAACCAAATTAGAGTGACCGTGGGATCCAGCCAGGGGCCACCATCAGCACTGGGCTGTGATTCACATCCCCTCACCTGCCATCTCTCTGTGCCAAACCGCTCTCTGCAGCTTTAGTCCTGTCACAAGCACATCCCTGGGCCTCCCTCGCCCGTCTCCTCCACTGGATGTAGCCCACACACGGCCACCTCACCACCAAGTGACCTCAGAGTGGGATAGCAGCGAGCAGAAGCCACCCCATCCCCTTTGCTCCCCGCCACAACCGCCGGAGCTGTGCCACCTCTGAGCCCTCAGCAAGGAGGAACAGCAGAGAACCAACCCAGCAGAAACAGCACCTGGTTTGTGCTCTGGCAGCAGTACCAGTGACATGGAGCCAGGAGGGCAAGTGAGGGGTCCTGGCCCCAGCAGGGACACTGTGCTCTGCAGGCACATCCTGTACAGCAATGGGAGAGGGAATTCTGCATTGGACAGGGGCTGGGAGTGTTTCCAGACTCAAATACTTGCCTTTCTTTGCTGGCATTTCCTTTCCTGGCTGAAATCTGATTTTTTTTTTCCCTCTCTTCAAGCACACGCATACAAAGCAAAAAAAATATATTGCTTGGCCAAGGGATGAAGTTCAATATGAAATCACTTGAGATTTGATTTGCTCAATGGGAGCAAAACCTCTGAGCAGTTGGGAGTTGTAGCCAGGTGACAAAAGGGGCTGAGGATGCATTTGGGGACTGAATCTGCCTATCTTATAACCCACAGGGGGAGCAGGTCATTCTCCCAAGGAAGAGAGACCAATTACCTTCTGAACATTTCCCCAGTTAGCCAGTCCCACAGACCCTGCAGACAGCTAGAGCCTACAGCCAAGTCCCTCTCTGCCCACTGTCCATCACAAAGGGGAGGAGAGCAGCTGAAGACAGAACCAGGAAAAACACATGGGCCAGGAGCGCTCAGAGCACACACGTGGAGGCTGCAAAGGGGAAGATGTATGTCAGGGAATGTGTCTGTGCAAGTGTGTGAGCACCTGTGGGGTGGGAAGAGGGTAAGGACAAGGACCAGGAGGAAGAAGGTTTAGCATGGGAATGCAGCTCTGCTCTGAGCGCTGGACAAAGGTAGTGTGTTGTGCCCCCCATCCCTGCTCCTTGGCCCAGCCTCCCCGTTTCTGCCCCTGCCTGACCTGCTCTGAGCTGGGGAGCCCCACAACCCTCCCCAGAAACCTGCTCTCAGCTTTGCACTGGAGTTAATATACAGCGCTCGCTGCCACTCCTTAATACACTACTCTGTTTACTGGTATTTTAATACTGATGTTTATTTTTAAGATATAAATAAAATTTAAAGTTATTTTGAAATATTACAGTGACATTTACAGTCTCCTGCCTTCTTGTCTGGCTCACAACAAACACTGCAAGAGCTGCGGCAGAGGCACAGCCCCCGAACTGAGCAGGTGACCCCACATTCCAAGTCATTCACTGCAAGTCTATGCACTGGCTACATCCCTCAGTCTGGTCTTCTTCCTGCTGAAGTGTCCCCAGGCAGGGTCTTTGCCCATTTCTTTCTGCAGCCCTGCACCAGCCCTGGTTCTTTGTGGTGCTGATATTACACTGCATCCTTAAAGAGCAATCACCAGACCAAGAGTGAGGATGCAAACTGCCTCCCTCCTCAGGGGGACAGGGACCAGGCCGACCCACAGGGATACTCCAGAAGCTCTCCAAGCCACTCTGTCCGAATCACCCAGCACTGAGGGCTGGCAGGGGCCAGAGCAAACACTCTTGGGTCACTGATGAATCTGCGGGGGAACGAACAACAGCCACAGAACTGAACTCTGAGAGAACTTTTGGCACACATGACCTGTTCTGAGCTCTGCTGCATCACACGAGTCAAGGAGCACAGCCTTGTGTTAATTCTCTGAAACTGAAACCCAAAGAATCACAAACTGTATCAAGCAACAGCACAAACACAAGGGCTTTCTCCATGGCACAAACTCCTCACCTCATGTTGCCCATGAACTGCCCAGGGCACAACTAAAACTAGCAGGAAGGACAAATCCCACAGACACTCTAACATCAGCCCTACAACAATCCTCAGTGCCCGCTCCTGTTCACAAAATGCACATTTGTCCCAGCAGTGCTCTGCTCAGCTTTAGGACACCCAAATCCTTAGGCACACCTACCACTAAATTGCCTCAGTCAAGCTCAGGACACTGTAGACAAAAATCACTCCCATCAGAGACCATACACAAGAGGCTGCAGATCTGACTGCAAAAACACACCACAAACCTGGACCACTCTACAAGCAGGTAAAAAATGCCAATCCTCAAAAACCTGCCCTTGAACCAGCACAGTTTTATGGCTCATTCTAACTTTTCAGCCCTACTTTTGATTTATGTAATATTCTAAAATAACACATCTTGCTAACTGAGTTTGTGGTGGAAAGGAAAGCCAAAGAGTGATATGGAGGAGTCAGCAGGAGTGACAAGCGCTTGCTCTCTGTGGATGACTGCCAGGAAGGACAGCAAGTAGGTGTATTTATGGCACAATTCACTGAGCAGCTCACTGACAACAGACAGACAGAAGCAGCAGGCTGTTGCTTTGAAAGCTGGTACCAAGCTTGACTTTTAACTTGTGATTTAATTACACTGAGGTTCAGTAAGTTTCCAGTGCCACTTCACCATCACATACAGAAAACTGGAAGGTCAGGATTAAAGCTACCGTAATCAAATCAATTATTTTTGTTGTGACAGGTCAACAAAGATGCAGTAACAGTGATATTACTATGAAGACACTATGTGTAACCCCAGTAACAAGCAGGGGCATGTTGCTACTGAACCCGAGGAAAGCGGCAGGCGCTCAGGTGTGAGAGAAACCAGCGGTGTCAGGTGGCGCTCGGTGAGTGAAACCCGGGCAAGGGGCTACTGAAAAAAACCTTTATTGCAGTGAGCCGGCCGGCACGCTCCTCCCCACCGGCGCCCCACGGCCGAACGAGCTGCGCCAGGCTCCATCCCCCGACGGACGATCCGGCAGCGGGGCCCGGGCCCAGCTCAGCGCAGCCGCCGGGCCTCGCGCTCCGACTCCAGCAGGGTGAGAACGTCGCCCTCGCGCACCGGCCCCTTCACGTTGCGGATGATGGAGCGGCTGGTGTCGTCCATGAACTCCACACGCACCTGCGGGGCGGGCCCGCGTCAGCCTGGCCGGGCCCGGCCTGAGGCACCGCGCCCGCCCGGCCCCGCCCGCTCACCTGAGTGCACTGCCCCTGAGAGCCGGTCCGGCCCAGCACTTTGGTGACCTGTGGGGACACAGCGGAGGGTCAGCGCGGTGTCGCGGCGCGGTGTCGCGGCCCCCCGGCCCCCGTACCAACCCTGGCCAGCTTGATGGGCTGCACGCGGCTCGTGTCCATGGCGGCTCCGGGGCGCGGAAAGGGGCGGCGAAACCCCGCGGCGCCTTATATAGCCCCAAGTCTCGCGAGACCCAGCGTCCCTCCCGCGCGCTCCCGGCGCCCCCCGCGCCCCTGCCCTTCACCGCGGCCAAGATGGCGACGGCGACTCGGCTGATCCAGCGGCTCCGCAACTTCCTGGCGGGGGTAAGAACAGCCCCGCGCCCGCGGCTCCGCTGCCCCGCGGGACGCCGCGCTGCGCCCCCGGCTCCCCGGAGCCTCCGGCGCACGGCGGCAGCTCCGCCTGAGCTGCTCTGGCCTTGCCTTGCAGCGGGATCTCCAGGCGAAGCTGCAGCTCCGCTATGAAGAGATCGCCAAGAGGTGCCGGGGCCGGGCCGGGTTGGGCGGCGGGCGCGGCGCTGAGCCGCCCCAGCCCCGGCCCCGCCGCTGACGCTCGGCTCGTTCTCTGCCTAGGACCCAGCCGCCGCCGCGGCTGCCGGTGGGCCCCAGCCACAAGCTAGCCGATAACTATTACTGCAGCCGGGACGGGCGCCGGGAGTCGCTGCCGCCCGTGGTGGTGGCGGCGGCGGCGCTGAGAACCCTGCCCGCGGGGGCGCAGGCCGGCAGGTGGGTGTGAGGTGGGCACAGAACGCGCTCAGCAGCAGCGGGAAGTTACCCAGATTGGCAGAAGAATATGGAACTGATTATTTGGGTCTATATTTCCTTGTAAATAAGTGAGGCGGGAGGAAGTTCACTCACTCTGTTTTGGCGGTGCCCCACCTGGAGTATCTGTGGCCAGCAGTGGGGCGTCCAAGAAGGGACCTGTGGCAATGAGTCCAAAGGAAGCCACAGAGATCCTCCAAGGGCTGGAGCCCCTCTGCTCTGGAGCCAGGCTGGGAGAGCTGGGGGTGCTCCCCTGGAGAGGAGAAGCTCCAGGGAGAGCTCAGAGCCCCTGGCAGGGCCTGAAGGGGCTCCAGGAGAGCTGGAGAGGGACTGGGGACAAGGCCTGCAGGGACAGGACACAGGGAATGGCTTCCACTGCCAGAGGGCAGGGCTGGATGGGAGATTGGAGGAAATTTGTGGCTGTGAGGATGGTGAGGCCCTGGCACAGGGTGCTGAGAGCAGCTGTGGCTGCCCCTGGATCCCTGGAGGTGTTCAAGGCTGGACAGAGCTTGGAGCCACTTGCAGTGGTGGAAGGTGTCCCTGCCCGTGGCAGGGGCTAGAATGAGGTGGGCTTTAAAGTCCCACCCAATCCAAACTGTTCTGGGACTCTGATTAACAAAAACTACTTTGCAGCTTGGACTTCTGATGAAATTCAAGTGTGATTTCCAGACTGTTGCTAAAGCCTATTCTTTCTCTTCCTTTCTCTACCCCAGTTCAGGTGCTGCACTGACAACAGCAGGCAAGAAACCAGTGACACCAGGACCACCACCTAGGAAGTGGGAAATTTCCAGGGATGAGCCGTACTTGTGAGCAGGGAGTGAGCTGAGGCTGTATGATGGGCACAGGTGGTTCCAGAGCAGCTCTGATGGGGAGGCTGTGCTGCATGTGGCTCCAAGCTGCTGGAGGGAGCTGGTGTCTGATTAATAAATGTATATAATAAAGCTGTGATTACTACCCCCCATTTTGTGTATTTTATTTGATTGATTTATTTAAGTTATTGCTGTTTAATAGCAGTGTATTTGGTTGGTTGGACTAGTGACACAGGATGGGCACATCTGTAAGCTGTAGTCAGTCAATGAAGAACAGAGCTGAGTAAAGCACAGCCTCGCTTACGGGGCTCCCCCCGGGCCCAGGTTTGCTAGAAAAGTCCAGCCTGGGGCAGCCGCCCCCACCGCCAGTGCACTGGCAGCTCCGTTCGGGGGTTGCGGGGCCGGTCCGGGCCCGGGCGCGGTTGTTCGAGCGGCACCGGCAGCTCCGTGCGCGGGTTGCGGGGCCGGTGCGGGCACGGGCCCGGTTGTTCGGAGCGGCACCGGCAGCTCCGTGCGGGGCCGGTGCGGGCACGGGCCCGGTTGTTCGGAGCGGCACTGGCAGCACCGTGCGGGGCCGGTCCGGGCACGGGCCCGGCTGTGCGGAGCGGCACCGGCAGCTCCGTTCGCGGGTTGCGGGGCCGGTGCGGGCACGGGCCCGGTTGTTCGGAGCGGCACCGGCAGCTCCGTGCGGGGCCGGTGCGGGCACGGGCCCGGCTGTTCGGAGCGGCACCGGTAGCTCCGTTCAGGGGTTGCGGGGCCGGTCCGGGCACGGGCCCGGCTGTTCGGAGCGGCACCGGCAGCTCCATTCGCGGGTTGCGGGGCCGGTCCGGGCACGGGCCCGGCTGTGCGGAGCGGCACCGGCAGCTCCGTTCGGGGGTTGCGGGGCCGGTCCGGGCACGGGCCCGGTTGTTCGGAGCGGCACCGGCAGCTCCGCCGCGGGGCCGGTGCGGGCACGGGCCCGGCTGTTCGGAGCGGCACCGGCAGCTCCATGCGCGGGTTGCGGGGCCGATCCGGGCACGAGCCCGGTTGTTCGGAGCGGCACCGGCAGCTCCGTTCGCGGGGCCGGTGCGGGCACGGGCCCGGTTGTTCGGAGCGGCACCGGCAGCCCCGTTGGCGGGTCCGGTCCCGCCGCCCGCGATGGGCGGGGCTCCCGTCACGCGCCCCGGCCCCGCCCCCCGGGCGCGGGAGGCGGGCGGGGCTTCCTCAAGGGCGCGCGCCGCGCCCGCCCTCGCCAGCACCCCATTGGTGGAAGTCGGGGCCGAGCGCACGCGCCTTTCCTGCACACGCCGCGTTCGTAGCGGCGCGGCGACCCCAGCCAGTCCGTCCGGTGCGGGCCCGCGGCATGGCCGGGCCGCGACTGCTGCCGCCGGGGCTCCCGGTGCTGCTGCTGCTGCCGCTGGCGCTGCCGCCGCCGCTCTCTGCGGACAACGGTGAGCTGGGGGAGCGGCCGGGCGGGCGGCGCCCATTGGCTCTCCGCGCACGCCCTGCGCTCCCATTGGCTGGAGCCTCGCGCGCCCCGCTCGCGGTCCCCGTTGCGGGCGCGGGGCTCTGCCCGGGCCCCGCTCCCCTCACGCTCCCCTCACGCTCCCCTCACGCTCCCCTCACGCTCCCCTCACGCTCCCGCTCCCGCAGCCGCCCCGGCCCGCTGCCGCCCGGACCAGTTCCAGTGCGCGCCCGACGCGCTCTGCTTCCCCCAGGACTGGCGCTGCGACGGCCACCCCGACTGTGAGGACGGCGAGGACGAGCGGGGCTGCGGGACCGCGGCCGGGCCGAGTGCCGGCGGCCCCGCGGTGACCCCGCCGAGCAGCTCCGCGGTGCCGCCCACCGGCAACGCAGGTACGGGGCCCGGGGTGCGGCGGGGGTGGCGAGCCGGACCGAAGCCCTTGTTCACCGCCGTCTCTGGCCGATCCGGGCTGCTGCGGTCACCGCGCGTCGCTGTGAGTGGGGGAAGCGCTGTGGAGGAACCCGCACCTTCAGCTTCCTCTGGTGGAGCCACAGTGACGCCCCTCAGGGCGCCCTCGGGAAGGGCCTTTGAAGTACATCCTTCCTTCTTCCAGAACATGCAATTCCCAGCAGCTGCTTCGAGAATGTCTCCAACTGCCGAGCTCCTCTGAACTCTGGGGAATGGGCAGGCTGAAGGGAAGAGGATGAGGAGGAAGTCTGGGCCACCAGGGCTGGCCAGGAGCTGCATCACAGTGACTGGGCTTGTGTCTGGCTGTGTCTGCACCCCAGTACTGTCGGTACCACAGCCCTGCAGCATCCTTTGTCAGACCTTTGGCTGTCTGGGCTGCTTGGAAAGGTGCTTCTGGCTTCCCTTACCTGCCAGTTTCCAAGGGTTTGTAGAGGAGGGGGATTACTGAAGATGTGAGCAACTGGGGTTTAGTTTGATGCCTGTACCTGTTCAATTGGCAGGCAAGGTGAAGAGCTGCATTTTGGTTGTGCCTCTGGCTTCTCAGTGCCACGAGGACAGGCTGGGATGCTGCAGTTCCAGCTCCAGCTGGAACTTTCCCACCTTTCCCTGTTACGCATTTCCAGTAGAACTTTTTTCTCCAGTAGCAGCAGATAAGGTTTTGCTTAAATTGAAAAAGGCCTTTTGGTGCTCTTGAGGTGAGCTGGGAACTCAGCCAGATGTAGATTGAAGACTGCTTTGAGTGCTGACCATAACCCGAGTTGGGAGCCTCATGGATTTGTTTCTCTTTTTTCACAGAGCCTTCAGCTATGCCTGAGGTCTCTGTGCCATCGAGCAGTCAAGATTACACATGGATCTTGATTGTTGCAGGTATGTGAGACTCAAGAGCACTGCATGTAGTCTTGGACCTACCTACCTTGGGCTATAAGTTGAGTATCCTGAGGGGGTCAATTCCAGACCTCTATCAGGAGCTGCTTTTGCTGTGCTGGAAGGACTAAGGGAGGCCTGGCACCACAGCTTAATTATTTCTCTGCCTTGGATGTGTTGTGTCTTTGGAAAGGTCATTACATGCAATGTGCCACGAACTTACTTCCTCTCTGTCTGTCCCTTGCCCTTGAGGGACACTGCTCATCTCTGCTTGCTGGCTCATGGTGTTGAGCAGCAGTGCCCTGTCCCAAGACCTGGGCAGTGAGTGGGTTTCTGCTTGTGCACTCTCCTCTCTAGGGCTCTTGATCATCCTGGTAGCAGCAGGTTCTGTTGCTGTGTGGGGTCTGTCCAAAACAAAACGCAGATCTGACACCTTCAGTCTTGACAAAGCATCCAGGGAACAGCTGATGGCTGGCAAGTGCCAGAAAGGCTCCTTGCCTTAAAGGGTAAGTGTTTTTGCATCCCATGTGCTCCATGTGGCTGAGGGAGAAATTAATTCTTGCCTTGTGTTTCTGACTTCTAGAGCTTTCCCCTTTGGGGTAGGTTTTCCCAGCTTCCCTGATGCCTGCCAACCAGGTGCATGGGGTTTCAGTCTGTCCTGCAGCAGCAGAACTCTCCCCTTTCCTCCCCTCTGCCAAGGACATGGAGCAGTCCTGCTGAGATACTGATCTTCTGGTGTGGGACTTTTTCCTCTGCTTTGCATAAATTGAAGTCAAACTAGGTTTCTTCTCAAAGGACTGTCAATAACCAGGTGTTTTTCTGGCTTTGTAACAGGGAGCCTTATCCCAAGGTGATGAGGTGAGACTAGCCTGGTCTGTCTCCTGCTCACCGCAGAGCCTGACTGAATTGGACATCAGCTCTCAAATCTAGATTGTTACACTGGAATACCAAGAGCACGCTCCCTTTGTAAATGCAAATGTCTTAGACTGTAGGACTACCTTGGCTCCAGAAATAGCCCAGGACCTTCCCTGGCACTGTGACATCAGCCCTCCCAAAGATGGTAGAAATGTCTTCATTGTTCTGCATGACAGTCGTTACTGCTAATGCCCACCACTGTGGCCTTGGACTCAAAGATGTTTTTCTCCTTGAAGTGCCAGGTGCTGGTCAACTGTCTCCTTCCACTTCCAGCCAAGAACCTTTTTTAATCTGTCCCATTCTTCCCCCTGGATTTTGTCAGGGAACAGGAGCTTTCTCACCTATTTCCAAAGGCACTCACTGGCTGCACAGGTCACACAAATACTCCACGTTTGCACTGCTGTTTGATGCTGACCAGTCCCATGCACGGGAGGCTTTTACTGACAGTGCCTCCATGGGGGTGACAGTTGCTCTGGCTTTGCTGTGCTGTCACCTGAGCCCACATGGAGCAAGGAGCTCCTCAGCCCAGGGCCAGCTGCTCCTTTCACACTCCCTTCCACAACATCTCCATGCTTGGCAGACCTGCTCTGCCTACCCCAATGCTGACGGCTGCATGGGGCTCCTCCTAACACTCTTAATGGTGTCTTCCCTAAAACTGTTCTGACATGAGTGCTGTCCCTTGACGGGCCAGTGCTGTTCCATGCTTTCTTCAGTGTGTAGAGTAAGGTCAGATGGACCCTCAGCCAGTCTGAGGATGAGACCAGGCTGAGCAGTGCAGCTGGAGAGGGGGATGTCATCCAGAAGGACCTTCAGGCCCACAGGAACCTCGTGAATTTTGATAGTGCCCTGCACTTTTGTTAGGGCAAACCCTGGAGAAGAGATGGCTCTGGGGAGCCTTGTTGTGTCTTGTCTATGTCTAAAGGGGGATTGTAAGAAAAATGGAGAGGGGCTTTTCACCAAGGCCTGTAAGGACAAGGTGAAAAGCTGACAGAGGGTGGGGTTAGTAGGACATGAAGGAGGGTTTTATGGTGAGGCTGTGGCTCAGGCTGCCCAGAGCAGATGCCTCATCCCTGGGACCAAGCTGGACAGGGCTCTGAGCATCTTGGTCTAGTGGAGGTGTCCCTGGAAATAAGTCATGTCTTTGGCCAGGGCTCCATGTGCCACACAGATAGTGTCTGACCCAAGCACTGAGTGCTGTGTACCTCTCAGAACTGACTGTGCAGGGGCAGATCAGTGCTCAGTGCCTCTGGTTCAGCATTGGCCACGTGCACCTTGCACAAGTGATCACTAAGTGCACCAAGCTGCTGCCTTGGCTGCTGACCTCTGTGCCTTGAAGGTGGAAACTTGACTTGCCAAGCAGACACCAGTCATCAGCCTTGGAGTAGCAGTCTTCTGCTCTTGGATAGCATGTGAATGCTGCCATACCCCACAGGAGAAACTTCTGTATGTGATATGGAGTCCTGAGTTATTCCAGGGCTGCTATTTTTAGTACCAAGGAGTCATTTGCAAGGGCACACACAACCTTCTGTTTCCCTAGGGACAGACAGAGATGGCTGTGATGACTGACACAGGAGAATAAAGAATGTGAAATTAACAAGTTCTGGAGTGTTTATTTTTCCTGGATATGTGCATTTGCATGGATTCTGTATTTGGGAGGCCGGGGGCTGCACAACCTTTGGATTGTCACATCCTGGGAAGGAGGACTTGGGATGGGTGGGCTGGCACGGGGTGCTGCTGCGCCTGCCTGGGACAGATGAGACTCCAGCACACACCAGCTGTAGCAGAAAAAATTAAATGCAGGAGCAAAGCAAACAGAGAGGGTGGGGACAGGAGGAACAGATGCCACAGTAGCACCTCTGGTGCTACTGCTGAACCGTGGACAAGTGGGAGCTCAGCCAAAAGCAAGGTGAAAAAAATGCCTGAACTTGTCCCTTCCTTGCCAGAGTAGAGCATGAAGTGGGGAGCACTGTGGGGCAGGAAGGGCTCCAGGAGTCCTGGCAGGACAGGGCTGAGCTGGGGCCAGCTGAAGTGCTGGTGCTGGCAGGGCCATGTGGCCGAGGTCAGCTGTCACCAGCTGGCCCCAGATCATAGTTTTAGCTGCAGCTGCCAAGCCAAGCCCAGCTGTTCTGTGGTACAAGGCAAGAGTTGCTTGCTCCTGAGATGAGGAGTGCGGCCCTGGGGCAAAATCACAAGACTTTGCAGGTTTTGCTTTCTGGTCCCTGAGCTGAGTGCTACAGAGTTGAAAGAAACACATTTTTATGGATCTTCTGCCAAAACTTGGGGCTGTGTGTTTCTGACAGCAATTTCCCTTCCTCTGTACGGTGCTGGAATTGTTTTTGTTGTTCTAATCCCCAGGCTCAGAGACTTCAATTGTAGTGGAGCCTGAGCTGCTTTTCAGGCCAGAAGTATCTTTGTGCTCCACGTCTGTATTTAATTAGACCAGTTCATGGAGATCAATGTGATGTTTTACATGTTGAAGTAGGATCGTGTTCCAAGATAAGACCTCAAAGATCAACCTGTTTAATTTTGGTTCCCCTTTTACTTGCAAATTCCAAGGATTATTTCCTACTTTTTCAGTTCCAATACTTCAGAGGAACCTTTACTGCCTATTTACATTTCCAGTGTCCTGTTCCCTGTTCCTGCCCCTGCCTGGGTGAGGTGGGCTGAAGGCTAATGTGATGGCACACGGCAGGGGCATGGGGGCAGCGTGTCCCTCAGGGCATCTTGGACACTGTGGAGGTGGAGGTGGTTCCTTCACCTCATCTCCTCTAAATCTGCACTGTGGAACTTGAGGGATGAGCTGAGAGGTCATGACCATCTCCCTTCCCTGGCTGTGACAGCTGACAGCCGGGGCAGCTGCATTAGCCTTTAACAAAGGGCTGGTGCCAAGAGCAGCATCTGGGGTGGGGATACAAAACCAGCACAAATCCTGCATCTCTGCACCTTCCTGTCCCATCAACAGAAGGTAAATTGAGGCAAGTTTGTGCTGTTTCCAAGTTTGCTGTCATGGATGTCCTTCCAGGAAACAGCATCCAGCAAATGCAAACAGCTAATTAGAACAGAATAAGGGAAAAGAGAAATGCAGAGCTAGAAATAGTTCCTTACATAAAGGACTAGTGCCTCAATCTCATTAGTGTCTTAAGGAGCGGGCAAACCCCAATCTGATCAGCAATCGGCTTTGGGACCCGGCAGGTGCCGCGCGGCACCGGGACTCAGCTGTGCCCTGTGGGCAGCCACTCCGCTGCCCCAGGCTCGCAGCACTGTCCCAGAAAGCGTGTGGGCAGTGGGGGTGTTCCCATGAAGGCAGAGATGCTGTCCTGAGCCTGTAACAGGAGTCACCGCTCCGGAGGCTGGGCACCATGAGGCAGCAGCGGAGCAGGCGCGCGAGTCTCTCGGCCAGCCTGAAGATAGGGGATCACTGGGGCCACTGCCGGACCCAGGAGGAGGAGGAATCCTACATCCCATTTGCACAGGACAGCCTGGTAAGGCAATGGAACTCCATGCAGAACGTGGCAGGTGGTAAGCAGGAGAAGAGCCAGACTCCCATCCAAAGGAACAAATACCTTCTCAACATTAACGTGGGTGGCAAATTGTTCCAGATAGCTTATAAGGTACTGGCCCGGTACCCTGTCACCCGGCTTGGGAAGTTGGCGCTCTATACAGACCCTGTGAAGAAGCTGCAGCTCTGTGATGACTACTTGGTGCAGAAGAATGAGTACTTCTTTGATAGAGATCCCTCAATTTTCCACTACATCTTCCACTTCTACCGCAGTGGGGTCCTGTGGGTGATGGATGAGATGTGCCCCAGTAATTTCGTGGAGGAAATCGAGTACTGGGGAATCCATCTGAAATACTCCCAGCGCTGCTGCCGGATCCTGTTAGAGGAAAAGCGAGATGAACTCAGTGAGTACCTGAAAATAGAGAAGGAGCTGGAGGCAGAACTGGAGCCCCTGGAGTCAGGGACGCAGTTTGATGGCAAATTTCTGGGTCCGTTTCGGAAAATGGTCTGGAACCTCATTGAGAACCCGTACTCTTCTGTCCCAGCCAAGATCATTGCTGTTATGTCGAGCTTCTTTGTGCTTATCTCCATTGTGGGCATGACACTGAGCACAGTGGAGGAGATGAAAAACAAGACAGGGAAAATGTGGATGGAGCAGATGGAGATGATCTGTGCCATCTTCTTCACCTCTGAATACCTCATGCGGCTCATATCCTCCTCCAGCTTCAAGAACTTTCTGCGGGCAGCGTTTAATGCTATAGACCTGGTGGCCATCCTGCCCTTCTACATCCAGATCCTCTTTGAAAATCTGGATGATGGAGACATGCAATACCACGAGGAGCTGCACAAGGTGGAGAATGTGAGCAAACTGGGCAAAGTCCTCAAGCTCATCAAGCTCATGAGGATCTTCCGCATCCTCAAGCTGGCACGTCACTCCACTGGCCTCCGGGCCTTCAGCTTCACCATGCGCCAGTGCTACCAGCAGGTTTGCTGCCTCCTCCTCTTCATTGCCATGGGGGTCTTCACCTTCTCTGCTCTCATACACTCGGTGGAACATGATGTCCCTGGCACTGACTTCACCAGTATCCCCTGCGCGTGGTGGTGGGCAGCGGTAAGGTGTGAGCAGCTTCTTCCAGAGGGGGGTGGGGGGGGTTCCATGGGTAGGGGCTACCCCAGTGCTCAGGGGATTCACCACTGCTGCTGGGCAGGAGGCAAAAAGTGCCCAGTCTTCTCACCAGCTCAGAATGGTGGGAAACCAGAGCCCTGCGTGCTCTGAAAAGAGTCAGAGGTTCAGATGAGCTCAGAAGCTCAAAAGCTGGTGCTGGAGTGGGATGGTGGGACAGAGGTTGTGGCTTGGGAACCTCCAGGCCTGAGCTGAACAAGGGAGATGTGACTCAGCTTTATCTGCCATGGGACCCAAGTGTTGAGTGGATGTAGCCTGTGGGTATGGGGACAGCCTAAGGCCTGGGCAGCATTGCAGCCCTGCTGAGCTTGAGAAGCACAAGAGCTGGTGGGTCTGAGATGGGGAACCCAGGGCTGCGTTGGCACCCATAGTCACCCTGTGCCTCAGCCTGTGTCATGAGAGTGGACACGGACTGGGGTATGCTGCCCGTTCAGTGCCCTGCTTGTGCCAGGAGCCAGCAGCTCTGCAGAGCTGGGCACTGTAATAAACCTGGCATTACTTCTGAGATGGGGACCAGCTAAAGCACTCAAGAGCCACAGGTTATGAGGGCATTTTGATTTACAGATTAAATGATCCCACAAATCACTTCTGCTCTTATAATCCCCTTTGGCCACCAAAGCCTATCTGCTTCAAATTCATCCCTCCTTGAAGAAGGGCAAAATCACTCTGCAACATCACCAGGTTCAAGCATTTCAACATCCCAGGCTGAGCTGGCACACAGCTCCCTGCCAAGCCCAAACCTCTCTGGCCTCAAATCTCACCATAGCGCTGCTCCCCATTTACTAAACATAGTTAATTCCCAGGCAATGACTCTGTTTCCCCTGGAGGGAGGCTCCAGGAAGCTTTCTTGGGCTGGGGCCAGGCAGCTCACAGCCAGGAAGCTCTGGAGCCACAGCTATGACGGGGAAGGAAGCTCCAGCAGACACTGGCTGCTGGGGAAGGCTCAGCTCAGGGGTGTCCAGCTGCCTTTGAAGAGACACACCCAAAAGCAGTGAGGGAGCAGGGTCTGGCCTCTGATCTGTGCTTCTGGGGCTCAGCCAGCTCTTTCCTTTGTCTCTGCAGGCCTGCCAGGCACAGCCAGGACAGTGGCACCCTGGCCATGCAGGTTCTGGAGAGGGGACAGCTCGGCTGGCTGCCATCAGGGTCAGGGTCTGGCGCTGGTCACAGGGGACAGGGGCTCCAAAGAGGGGTGGGAGGGAGGGAATTCCAGCACCAGCCAGTGGGGTCTGTTGGGCTTGTTCCCGTGGGATTTTATCCTTTTCTGTCCCTGCACAGGTCAGCCTCTCCACTGTGGGCTACGGAGACACTGTGCCTGACACAATACTCGGCAGGATGGTGGCATTTGTCTGCATCTCCTTCGGCATCATCCTCAATGGAATGCCCATCTCCATCCTCTACAACAAATTTTCTGACTACTATGCCAAGCTGAAGGCCCATGAGATGAGCCAGTCACTTCAGCTTTCCAGGAGGATCCGCCTCAAAGAGCGAGTCCTGCGGAAGTTCTCAGAGTGCTGGAGCGCTGACCCCCGCTATTACCGCTGACCCCAGGCTCCCCACCCCCAGCCATCCCCTGTCCTGGCCATCCTCCCAGTAGGTCTTGTCCCCCAGGGATGCTCTGAGCTACAGGCAGAGTCACAGCAGTGCTGGGGCTCTGCTGTTGCACGGGGGCTGCCCCAGCTGGGACCACCTCCCTGCTGCGTGCTGGGCAATGCTGTCTGCAGAGCATCAGTCAGGGAGCAGAACAGCCAGGCCAGGATGTTTGTCTGCCATGGGCTGAGGCCAGGGGCCCCCTGAATCACAGGGAGTGAGGGATGGGACTGAACTGTTCCCTGTGTGACTCCTGTGCAGGTGCTGCTCCGTTCCCCACTGAGTGGGACACACACAGGCTCCCCCTGCCCCGTGATCCCTCCCAGGCCAAGCAGCCCAGGCCTAGTCTAGTGTGGGGGTTTGGGTGAAGCCCAGAGGAAAGGCTTACAGCCATGCATTCTTCCAGCCAAATCTGCTCTTCTTCCCACTGCTCTGCAGTTTGGGGCACAGGCTTGACTTGGGGTGCTGCTGTGACAGGACCCACCTGCACTATAGGCAATACAGAGCTTGTAGCCAGAGCACCCCCAGGAACAGGATTTAATAAATCCTCCATTGTCATGGATTCTTGTCCAGCCACTGTGTGTGGTTCAGTAAACTGCTCATCATTCGCGGGGAGGAGGGGACATCCCCCCAAGGCTCACAAGTCCATCAGTCTTCTCAGGGATGCAGATGAGCCTGTCCATGCATTAGTTTTGGAACGAGGTGCCTGGGTGCATTGGAACCGGAGCTGGCACGTGCAATGATCAGGACACACCAGTTGGCTCTGCCCGGTATTCACGTCATAGGAGGCAGTGGGGAACATGTCTGGGGGGCACAGGAGAAGGATTTGCCCTCTGGTGTGGGACCATGTCCAGTGAAACAGCCTCCTGAAGGAAGGAGAGAGGAGAGAGGGACCTCGGGCTGCAGGGAGGGTTGGCATGGGGAAAGGCCAACAGCTGCTGGTGCTGCTTCCAGGTGAACAGGTGGAAGAAACAGATGCCAGCCAGGCCAAGGTGCAATTCACTCACTTGTGAGCTGGGCTTGGAGATGCAGAGGTGCCAGGGGTCTCCTGGTATCAGCCTGGGACTGTGGCTAAGCTGCTGATTTTGAAAACTTGGAAAGAGACTTGGAGGAGCTGAGTGCTCTGGCAGGGACAGCCACACTCCCACTGAGAGCTGGACTGCAGGGGACAAGGAGGCTGTGCCACCAGGTGTGAGGGGACCCCTGCCCTGCCCACCAACACCTATACCCATTCCCTGGTAACCCACATTGACACCTACCCTCTGTACACCCCCCCAGCACTGACCTGACCCCACAGCATTGGACAGCTCTGGTTTCCACCCTATTTCTCTTCCGTGAGGAACATTCTCTCTGGGTACAGCAGTTTCCTCTGACCATCTTCCCCCAGAGCTCTCCCACCTCACTGTCCTGGTTTCAGCTGCAATATAGTTCATTTTCTTCCCAGTGGCTGGTACAAGGCTGTATTTTAGATTCAGGCTGAGAATAATCTTGATCACACACTGATCTCTCAGCAGCCAATTGCTGCTAGGAGACAGGCTGGGCACAGATTAGAGGGTGCTGAGCAACTGGGTATTGGGCATCACTTGTCTGTCTTGGGGTTTATGACTCCCTCCTTTTGGTGTCTCCCTTTTCATTACAAATATTATTAAATATTACCATATTTTATTTTATTTCTATTATTGGACTTTCCGTATCTCAACCTACATATTTTACCTTTTCTTCTGATTTTCCTCCCCATCCCACCAGGGTGGAGGGGGAGGGCAGTGGCTGCATGGTGCTTAGTTGCCGTCTGGGTTATAAACCACGACAGCCACCAGCACCCACCCACCCCAGCATTATCATTTCCTGGCACCTCTATAGACACCCTCATCCCACCCCAGACCCTGTCACCACATTCCTCCAAGCACCCCCATCACCTGCTCATTTCCCTGCACCCCCAGCTGCAGGCTGATGTGTCCTGAGATCATTCAGCTTTCAAGGAATGGGGCACATCAGCCTCGTCCCCTTGCCCCTGGAGACTGCGCTGCAGCTGGATCTTCATCCCTCCATGTGCACCCCCTTCCCTGTGCCTCTGAGATGTCTGCTTGCCCTGTTCCTGGCAGCAGTTCAGAGTCCACAGGCAGCCTTTGGAGAATGGCACTTTTAAATAGTTGTTCTGAATAATTTTACAAGTCACAGCAATGCAGGAATGTACAGACATTTACAGGACATTGTACAGGCAGCTTCTGTCATATATTAGTGCTCTTGCTATATACATATAGTACAGCCTGCAGGAGCCTCTGCATGGGCAGAGACACCCATGACCCCACACAGGGCACCCCAAAATGGAGCTGCTGCCCTGGGGCTGCTGGTTCACACGGGCTCAATCAGGTTGGTTTAATCAGAGCTTGGCCCTGAGCCTTCCTTGGCTGGCCCTGTCAGGGGGTGACACCATCCTGGGCAAACCCAGCACCCCCTTGCTTTGCTCGTCCCGGTCTCTTTCAGAGGGTTTGTGGGACAGAGACCCCACTGATGCTCTGCAGGGAGCAGCTGCAGCCCCCACTGCAGTGGTGTTTCCAGCCCCTGCTCCTCCTGCCTCAGTGGCAGCCGCAGCTCCCGGCCACCATGTCATCGTACTGCTTGAGGACCACGTTCTCGTCATCGTCAAAGTAGAGGAGGTTGATGGAGTAGAGCTTGTCGGGCACACAGCAGGGGCTGCTGACGCCCTCGCTCAGCTTCAGGGCGTTGATGATGGACTGCACCGTGGCGTGGTTTGTGGGCCGCATGTTCTCGCCCAGAGGGAAGGGGCAGGAGCCTTTGCAGTGGAAGGCGTTGTACCCCCGTGGTGAGATGATCCAGCCAGACCAGCCAATCTCCTCGAAGTCCACAGACAAGGGATGTCTCTGGCAGGGCTGGAGCCGGTCCAGCGAGCGTGTGCTGCGTGTCCTGCCCAGCTTGGGCACCGGCATCTTGGCTGGGAGATCGGGAGCCTGAGGCTTTAAATCTGTCAGAAAGAAGCATCTGATGTCAGTCAGAGGTCACTGTGTGAGCCTGGGTAGAGGGAGAAGATACTGCAGCCCCCCCAGGCACCTCTCCCCACAGGTTTTGTCTGCAACTCTCTGCTCACAGCCTGTCACCAGCCCAGACAAAGCCACCAGGAGGTGACAGCCTCAGTCTCACGGCCGAACTCAAACCCAGCTTCACATCTGCAAGCAGGCAACAGCCCTGAGCGGGCTGCATCAGAAAGGAGAGAGCCTGTCCCACCAGCCAGGGAAGGAGATTTGGATATGCAGAGCCCACATGTGGGGAGCACCTCCTGAGAAAGAGATGTTGGCACCGAGGGAGTTGTGCCAGGCGTGGGGACCCACCTGGGGAGCCGGCTGTGGGCAGCGACGCTCCGCGGCGCCCATCGTCCGTGAAAAGGACCAACATGGGCTTCTTGCTCTCATGGTGACTCCGACCAGATGCAAACTGCAGCGGTGGGGGGTCAAGCGGGCTCCCCCCCAGGCCCTGGACCGTCACCAGCAAGCCCTGGTTGCTGCTTTCATCTTCGGTCCAGTCACGAACCTGCGGAACCAAACCACTGTCAGCACGGACTGGGACAGGCACCAGTGTCCCCACAGGCAGGTCCCAGGCCAGCAGCAGGACCCCTTTGAGACCACACTCTGTGTGCCGTGGGAAGGGATCGCTCCGGGGCTGCAGCACAGAGGACACTGTGGCAGGAGCCAGCACCAGCACGTCCTGCAGAGCAGCGAGACAAGTTTGGGGAGGGATGAAACGGCCCCGGGGCTCTTGGCAGGACTTTTTCCTCCCCCTCCCAGAGGATGTATCCCCCATGTCACTGCAGAGACTGCAGACAGGAAACTACACTGGAGCCTGAAAGGTGAAAACAGAGGAAAAGTGACTCACAGCTGGCGTGATGGCAAAAACCTCCCAGCCCGAGGTTTGCAGTGAGACAAGCCGTGCTGCCAGCAGCTTCTTCCCTCCAGGGGTGTCTGGCTTGTCCTTCTCCAGCACCTGGTACACACTGACCTGGGGAAGGCAAAAGGTGGTCACCCCAGCACATTCTTCCTGAGGGGTTGACCCTGGACAGAGGTGTGGGGGTAGATGGGGAGTTGTCAGCATGGATCTGCAGCAACCCTGGTGTGCCTTTGCTGATGTTTGCACAAGCCAGAAGGATATTTAAGAACGTGCTACAGTTAAATCATCATGATTCTCTGTGAAATATTTGTTCATATTTGTCCTAGAGCCAGGCTGTGTTCCCACTGCAGGCAAATGACCTCAGTGTGCCAGTGGCACCCCTGGGCACAGGCCAGGGGACAGCCCTGTCCCCATCCCGACCCCCATCCCATCCCTCTCTTCACCTGGCAGAAGTGGTGCCTTTTGGGCCCGTCTGTGACCCTCGGCCAGAGGCGGAAGAGGTGCAGCTCTGCCGTCAGGATCTTCTCGTTCTTGGCCACGCTGGAGAGGACGAACAGGAACCGCATCTCCTCGCTGTGAGCTGGAGAGAAGGATGTGCTGAGGAGAGCAAAACCAGGGGCGGCACCGCTCAGCCTCTCCCCACAGCCGCATCCCAGCACCACGGTCCCCCCCTCCTCCTTACTTTTATCCAGGAAACTGCGGACGGTGTTGCCCTCCAGGATGTCAGGGTTCTTGGTGACACCATCCGCATTGGCGACAGTGTTGAATAGATCCACCATGTACTGGGGTGGCTGCTTGAAGTGAGTCGGGGGGGCCGGCGGGTCTTCCATGCCAAAGACTTCCAGGAGTTTCTTCAGCGCCTCAGCCCTCCGGCTGGCCCCGCTGGCCGGGCTGGGGCACGCCGCCCTGAGCAGGGCCAGCAGCAGCAGCAGGACGGTCCCCAGCATGGCTCTGTGCTCGCTGTCCCCGCACAACTGCCCCCGCCGCCCCGGTGCTGCATTTATAACTCACTGGAAAGGTGCACTGCAGTGAAATATGCACAGGAGCAATCAGGAGGGTAAAGAGAGTTAATTGCCGTGCTAACAAGGTGAGAAGGCCGGCTCCCGGGCCCCCTGCATCAATTAGCCCCAGTACACAAGCGGGAGGCAGGACGGCTCACCAGGCGCTGCCGGGGCTGGCAGGGGCAGCGGGGCTTGGGGCCACAGCCCCTCGCCAGCTCTGGGCTGGGCTGCATTTGCTCTCCGTAGGAGACTAACTGGATTGTAATGATGGCACTAATGGGGCAAATCGGAGGAGCTTTGTGTGGAGGAATGCAGCCCATCAAGATGAGGATCCCGCAGTCGCTGCTGAGAGCGAGGATCGTGGCGGGGGCTCCGTGTCACACTGGTGTCCCCATGCCACGTCCCTGTGCCCGGGTCCCCTCTCTGCGTGGCGCAGGGAGCCGAGGCCACGGGCAGGTTCCAGCAGAGGAACCCCCGGGCTGCGGGGTCACAACGCGGCAGCGCCCTAAGCCAGCGCTTTTATTTTATTTTTTTTTTTTTTTTTTTTAAGGCTATTGGCTTCCTGGGAATTAAAAGGCATTTACTCCTAATTCCTGAATGCTTGATTGTAATGAAATATCCGAGCAGTGAGATAAAAGCCAATTCTTTAGACCTTACTTCCCAATCCCACAGAAACCAAGCTGGTGCAGGTGGGCAGGTCACGCTGTACAGCTGCCATGGGAATTAACGGAAAAATTAGCATTAATTAACTAATTCATCTACCGGCTGAAGCCCTGCTAGGACCACCTGATGGGAGACAAGGTGAAGGCTAATGTCCAGCGGTGCCCACAGTTTATTCCAACCCAAAGGGCTGTTAATTATGCAGAACAGGCACGGCGGCACCGGCTGGCTGGAGCTAACGGAGAGAGGAAACTATCTGTATTCCCGGGATCCTTTCCCTCCTCTTCCCAGCTCCCACAGGATATCTGGGGGTGCCTGCAGAGGAGACAGCTCTGCCCTGACATGCTCAGCTCCCGCTTCTCTCTCCTGTCTCCGGCTCCACAGTTTGCAGCCGGGAGCAGCCAATTCGTGCACCCCCAGCCTGTGCCAGACGGAGCATCCTCCTGGGATGCTGATGCGGAGGGGCCGTGGAGCTGCACAGCGGAGCCCCAAGGACCTGCAAATTGCCCACCGATGTTTATTTTACAAGCTGCAAAACATTTTGTAGAGGGCTCACTTTTACCTCCTGGTTAAGGAAGCTTTTATTGAAAAAAAAAAAAAAAAAAAAGCCTTCTCTCATTTACATATCCTACAGACAGTCTGGCGGGGTCTCCAGGAGCCCCACCCGCAGCTCCAGCCCCGCTGTCCCCGGCACTCCTGGACCTTCTGTTCACGCTCAGGAAAAGGGTACATGCCCTGGAGTAGGATGGGGGAGAAGGGAAGCAGGTTTTCCTTCAGCATCTATTCCTTACTCCAGGAGTAACTCGTGAGCTGTAACCTCCCCCGGGATAAGCAGAACAGTTCTTTCTTCCTGCATGGTTTGATTTGCTTCCTTTTGCATGCAAAGAATCCCAGAATGGTTTAGGTTGGAAGGGACCTTAAAGCCCTTAAAGCCCATCTCATGTCAACTCCTGCCATGGACAGAGACACCTTCCACCATCCCAGGGTGCTCCAGGCCCTGTCCAGCCTGGCCTTGGGCACTGCCAGGGATCCAGGGTGGGCACCCTGTGCCAGGGCCTGCCCACCCTGCCAGGAACAATTCCTGCCCAAATCCATCCCTGCCCTCTGGCAGTGGGAGCCATTCCCTGTGTCCTGTCCCTCCAGGCCTTGTCCCCAGTCCCTCTCCAGCTCTCCTGGAGCCCCTTCAGGCCCTGCCAGGGGCTCTGAGCTCTCCCTGGAGCTTCTCCTCTCCAGGGGAGCACCCCCAGCTCTCCCAGCCTGGCTCCAGAGCAGAGGGGCTCCAGCCCTTGCAAGCATCTCCGTGGCCTCCTTTGGCTCCAGCTTGTCCATGTCCTTACTGTGCTGGGGACTCATATTTAATGTCTACAATCAACACATAGTCCTGCCCCTTCAGCCTGAAGAAACTGCCTGGACTCACCCTGCCCCAGCAACTCCCTGCTCTTCCTGCCCCACAGCTTTGCCAGGGACACGAGTGGCACATTCCAGGCTGCAGAAGCCACTGTCAGGATCCGTGTCCGCTGTCCTGGGACACCACAGGCTCTGTAACCACCGGCCCAATTCAGCCCTGTCAGGCACAGCACAGCCGGGAGGGTGAGCTGGGGGTGCTCCCCACACCCGGCTCCGTGTCCCCCCAGCGCCGGGGGACAGGACCAGGGGCGGCTCCCGGGCGGGGTGCGGATGTGCGGGAGGAGGGCGGATGGAGCCCGGCAGCTGTGCTTACCTAAGCAAGCAGGGATCCCCCGAGGAGCAGCTGCCCAAGCACCTTCCACATCGATTTCCTGCAAAGATTTGCAAAACAAAGGCACAAAAATCCCCTGCAGCACCTCAGCAGGGACACCCCAGGACCCTCCACCCTCCCTCCAGCTTCAGGCTCAGCATCCATCCCCAGAGAAGGGCAGCAGCAAGGCACAGCTGGCAAGAAGTATTTTGGAGGCATAGCAGTGGTTTTTGAGTCAGGGACCCCTGTGCACACAAGTGTACTCAACTAGACAGTTGGGTCTCTGTTAAACTGAAGACATACCTAACAACTAAATATTTTTAAAAATAAATATCCTTTTTCCTTAATTACTTTTTAAAAGAAATCCTCACTCCAAAGAAAAAAACATTTGTTCCTTTATGGCCCTGATACATACACGAATTAGTGGTAGCAAAATTCATTTTATAGCACAAGAGAATAGAAATGTGAGGTTTTTACCACTCTAGTTTGATGCTAGTGTGAAGCTGCCAATGTTAGAGCGTCCACCCAGCAGCTCAAACCCTGCATGAGGGCTCAGCTGAGCCCACCAGAGAGGAGCCAAACCCCTGGAAATCCACCTTGACCTGTTTCTCCCTGTGCCCTGCAGATTTCCAGACAACTTCACAGTATTCCACCTGGGAGACACAATAGCATTTTTCCTTCATTTCGCAGCTCTCCAGTGTCTGAACCACCTCCCCGCAATGTGAACTTTTGACCAGAGCAGTGCTGAACTTTGTGGGCACACAGAAAAGTCCATCTGCAAGGAAACAAGATGGAAAATGAACCTGGAGCTGCACCCAAGTTTCCTGCTGCAGCACACAGACCATCCAGCTGTAGGCATCCAGCACCCACTGGAAAAGGCTGTGCTCTGTGTCAGGGTCCCAGCTGGGAGTTTGGGGCTCGTTCCTTCACCAGCTCAGGGCCTTAGTGGTAGGTTTTATTCCTCCATGCCAGTTTCAGACCATGAGGAAAGGGTGCAAGTGGTGACTGCTGTCCCTGACCCTGTGAAAGCTCCAGTTCTGGGAGCAAGCACAAGCCACTCCACGTTATTGCTGAGAAAAACTCTATTTGAACACAAAATATTGATGGCAGCACTTTTCCCAGAGGCACACTCTCACACCAGGGATGGGGGAATGTGATTTAGCATTAACTCATTCAGTATTTCCCTCTGGATTTGCCAGGGATTGTGCCCTGAATGGGCTTCTCAGATGCTGGAGCCAGTGTTATGGTTTTCTTTCCCTATTCCAGCTTTAACTCAATGAAAAATTCCCAGGGCACAAAGGATTTCTGTCTGGATTTGACATTCCTGGTTTGGTTATAGAGAGCTGGGGGAGGACAGGGGGAGGGGTCCTGGGTGGGCACATCAACAGCCACATCCCTGCTGCTGTGTCACCACCACATCAGGACATGCCACTGTGGCAGGTCCTGATGGCCCAGGTAGGGCCTTGGAAACTGGAGAGAAGGGACAAGGGTCCTCCAGCTGCACCCACATCTCCTTGGAAGGGCACAGGCACAGACTGTCCTACGTGGCTCAGCCTGAGCTGATGTTCTGTGCAGAAAGAAACCACATTGTTTCTGTGCTAAATCTCCTGGCTTTTCTCCCCTCACCAAGTAAATTACACTTAAAAATCTGCATTTCATGAGCTAGAGGAGGGGGAGAAGGATGATTGAGCTGATGGCCAAGTGCGTTTGGGCTCTATCTAGGACCCAGTCCTGTCCTGCCCCAGCCCTTGAATGTACATCCTTCGGGGTTTGTTTGGCTCCTGGCTTTGAACAAGTTTGGAGAGTTTCCTTCTCCCTCCCAACTACTTCAGCAGCTGCTGGAGAAAATTTCTTTGTTCCAGGATAGAGCTGTTTCCAGGGGAAGGAAAAGTGGTTTCTGAAAGCAATTATCTCTGGGATGCCTTAAGAGTGGGACACAAAATGATTTCTAGACGTCAGTGATTCTGGGTGAGATTTTAACATCCTCCTCCAGCCCCGTCCCCCTCTCCCCCTGCCCCGTTCCTCTGATGATTCCAAATTTTTACTATGACACTGAAAGTATCAGCCCGACTTTATGCGGGAAGCTGCAGAAGGAAAGTGCAGAGACTTGCCCTGGGGCAGAGGCAAAGCTGGCGGCAGTCCACATTTGCCAGCCCTGAGCTATTACAGTGACTGAGATTCTCTCTCCCCACTCCATGAATTCCCCTCCCCGGGGCAACAGAATCGTCCAGCACCTTCCACTAACACGTCTGGGAAGTAAATGCTGATTCTCCCAGCTCTGGAAGAAAGCGCTTCACGCTGCCTAATTGCCTTTTCCACTTGCAGCGGGATAAGCAGCTGCTGCTGCAGCTGTGGCCCTCCCCAGGAGGGGACAGTGGAATTAATTCCCCGGCTCCTGCGCTGCTCTGGGCTCCTTCAGCGCTCCCGTGGGCTCTGTCCCTCTCTAGTGGCGGTGTCACAGCCCTGCCACAGCAGCTGCCGGGAGGTTTGTGCGGACTGGCTTTTAGAAATGCCAAAAAAATTACATCAGCAAATTCCAGGACCATGGAATTTGTCAAACAGTTGTGGTAAATCATTTCAACACCACTTTCAATTTTGATAAAATCAGTTCATCTCCACTGATGGGTCCTGGGCTATTTTATGAGTGAACTCATGAGACAGCTCGCCAATTCACAATGAATGAGTTCAGCTGTGTCCCAGTGGGAGGTTTTGACCCATCTGGAATGATTTAGTTTGGAGTTTCTACTTCCAAGTGATTTTGAACCAGCAGTGTAGTTCACTGGTACTAAAACGGCATTTTAGACTGTCAGTAATTAAATTGAATTTTCCAGTGCTCTGTTTCCAGCAGAGCTTTTATCATCAGGTTGGTTTTCTTGCTTTGATTGGGAGAGTTGGAGCAGAGACTCCCGAGGTCCCTCCCAGCCTGGGTTACTTTGATTCGTGCTCTCTGGCTAGAGGACATTTCCCTGTACATGAGGTGGCTGTATCCCCATCCTCACCCATGCACACGGCAGAGAATTATCACTGTGCTTGCAGACCTGTGTGGTAAAGGCCCAGCAACAGGAAACTCAACCCCAAAACTTAATCTTAATACTCCCAAAGGCAGGGGCTCTGCTCAGCAGACTGGGTGCCCTTGAGCTTGGACATTGGTGTTGGTCACACAAGAGGGCTTGTTCCATCTTCCCAGAGGGAGGGAGGGAGCGAGGGAGGAAGAGAAGCTCTCCCTGCACTGTAGGTTGGGTCAGAGCATGATTGTGACCTCCCATGCAGCGTCTGGAAAGGTTTTCAGAGCCAGGAGCCAAAGCCATTCCTCAGGGCAGGTGCTGCAGTGGCAGCCCTCTACCACCTCTGTTGCAGAATTTCTGAGAAACAGAGAGCATGATTTATGTCTGCAGTGAGAATTGAGCTACCCCCTCAGACTAGGCCCTGATAAGCAGCCTTGGTGGGGCCTGGAAGCCTTTACACAGTGAGAGTTCAGTTGTGGTGCAATTAGAAATTATGTTAAGGTAACTACAAAGTAATCAGCTATCCGAGTGTGAATTAGGGTAGAGCTGCAGTGTGAAAAGCCTGACCACCTTAAGGCAAAGGTAAGCAATGTTAGCTTGCCAATGAGAGTGCCTTTGTAAACAGTAAACTATATGGGAGTGTATATAAACTGCCATCTTCTCACTAATAAAGGGAAAACATTTGATTAACCATATTAGTTCGACCTATGTTCGTCCTGTCCAGCACCCCCTCATATTATAAGAAGTCCCTCCTTTTCACCTCCACCTCCCTCAGGCCTCCGAGGAGCAGGTGCAGCTCCAGGTACAGCTCCAGGTGCAGCTCCAGGTGCAGCTCCAGGTGCAGCTCCAGGTACAGCTCCAGGCGCAGCTCCAGGTACAGCTCCAGGCACAGCTCCAGGCGCAGCTCCAGGTACAGCTCCAGGTGCAGCTGGGCCAGCTCAAAGCAGGACCCCCGGGGCTCTCACCTGCAGTGGCAGAAGACAGGGCATGGGGACACACCCTTGTAAAAACGCTGCTTGCATACCTTTTGTGACAACGTGACCCACCTGGTTGACCCCAGAAAGACAGTTGATGTAATCTTTTTGAATTTCAGTACAGGTTTTGATACTGCCTCTTCCAGAATCCTTCTGAACAAACTGTCCATCCCAGAGCTGGATAAAAACATCATGGGATGGGTGAGCAACTGGCTCATGGGTCAGGCACGAAGTGTGACAGTGGCTGGGGTGACATCAGGCTGGCACTAGTCACCAGTGAGGTTCTGCAGGGTCCATCCTCAGCCCTGGGCTCTTCAACAGCTTCATAAATGCCTTGGACACAGGACTGGAATGGACACTGAGCATGTTCACAGACAATACGAAACTGGGAAGAGCTGCTGTCTCCCTCAAAGGCAGGGAGACACTGCAGAGAGACCTCAGATCAGAGGGCTACATCATCACCAACCACATGAAGTTCAACAGGGGAAACGGCTGGACCCTGTACCTGGGACAGAGCAGCCCTGGATGCAGGGATAAACTGGGAATGAGAGGCTGGAGAGCAGCACCGTGGGAAGGGACCTGGGGGTCCTGGTCAGTGGCAAGTTGGATCTGAGTCACCGCTGGGTCCTGGCAGCCCAAAGGGCCGCCCTGTCCTGGGGGCAGCAGGCCAGGGAGGGATTGTCCCACTCTGCTCTGCCCTGGGGCAGCCTCAGCTCCAGTGCTGGGGGCACTTTGGGCACCACAGGGTCAGAAGGATCCAAAGGAGAGCAATGAAGATGGTGAAGGGCTTGAGGGGAAGCCATTTGAGGAGCAGCTGAAGGCACTTGGTCTGTTCAGCCTGCAGGAGACTGAAGAGAGACCTCATTGCACACCTTCCTTGAGAGGGGAAGAGGAGGGGCAGACACTGATCTCTCCTCTGTGGTGACAGTGGCAGGACCCAAGGGGATGGGCTGAAGTCATGTTGGGGAGGTTGAAGCTGGGTATTAGAAAAAGGTTCTTCCCCCAGACAGTGGTCAGGCACTGCAACAGGAAATGATCCCAGCACCAAACCTGACATGAGCTCCAGGACCATTCGGACAATGCTCTGGGGCACATGACGTGACTCTTGGGGATGGCTCTGTGCAGGGCAGGGAGTTGGACTTGATGATCTTTGCATGTCCCTTCCAACTCAGCATATTCTGTGATTCTGTGATTATATTTTCATCATTATTTACTCTTCTAAAGTTGGTGTTTCTGGTGGAGCTGACAAGCTGTCACTGCTTGTAATTTGGATATTTGGCAAGCACTAAAGGTTAAATTTGTACAAATGCTGCTCTCGTGCACTGAAAAATCCTAAGAAACTTCAGAGAGTGAAACTGTTGTGTCCTTATAGCCACCACAAAGGGGAACTGGGCCTGCAGATGGCTCCTGAAGGCCATAGACTTTTTTGATGAACAAATGGAACTACTTTCTACTTCATCTGCTTTCTCTACTTTTACAGGGCAGCTTGTTGTCCTACTGATAGCACTTACAACATCAATCCTGGGAAGCAAAAGTCTGCAGTTGCCCTGAACTTAAGCAGCAGTAAACAGGGAATTCAAACACAGGATCAACCCTGGTGCAGCTCAGGTCCAGGGAACAGACCCAGGGGTCAGGCTACTCATCAATTCCTGTTGTGGTGTGTTTTGCTTTGAATCCATCTTTGCCCCCTGTTCTCCTCTCTAATCCCCTCCCTTTCCCAGTTGCCAATTTTCCCAAGCCCTTCCCTAACCTCCTCCCTTCCAAGTTGTCAATCCTCCCTATCCCTGCCCCTTTCTCCAGAGAGTTCTGTGTCTGTCTTGTTGCCCCCGAGGAAGTAAAGGGAAAAGTCACTTGGAAAACTTCAACATTAAAAAAAACAGCGAAGGGATGGGCAGGATGTGAGTGTGGAAGCATCAGGAATCTTGGTTTCTGGAGGGTGAAGGGGAACTCGGAGGAGCTGTGGCTGTCCCATGCCTGGCAGTGTTCAAGGCCAGTTGGACAGGGCTTAGAGCAACCTGGGATAGTGGAAGGTATCCCTGCCTGTGACAGGGGTGGAACAAGATGAGCTTTAAGGTCCTTTCCAATCCAAACAACTCCATGATTCTGTGAATCCACCGTGCTCAACGTGGAGGAAATGGCTCTGCCTCCTGCAGCAGCCCCTCTCTGCAAAGAGATTTCCACGCCCCTCCACTCTGCTGACAGCTCCTGCAGTCACAAACCACCAAGCCCAGCATTACCCCAGTTTCGACTGCCCTCCTTTTCTGCCTGAGCTGGGATGAGGCACTGAGTGCCCAGCACAGCTCCAGCTGCTCCTTATCCTGAACTAAACTGCTCCAGCACAAACAAGAGATTTTGTTACAGATGGACATGACACATCCGACCCTGCCTGAGCACCCTGTTTAGTTACTCCAGGAAAACATTCTGGCACTGTTTCTCTCACTGTTTATCTGCTCTCTTCTACCTTACTGCAGACCGAGGTGAGGTGAAAGGAGTCCCCTCCCACAGCACAAAGGCCCTCAAGGGCACTAAACCTCCCGATTGCTGCACAGCAGCTCCTTTTGACACAGATCCCACACTGCTTGCCAAGTGCAAGTGGAGCCCTCTGTGCTGTTCGCTGTGGAAAGCACACTCCAAGCACAGCCCCTCACCACAGCCCCTGCTCTCCATGCTAGAGGCCACAGCAGTGCCAAGGACAAGAAGGGAAAAGGAACTGACTGGCAAAGATGGCAGCCTGCAAGAGCCCCGTGAGGAAGGCCACAGCTCCTGCATGGGTCCTGCATGCTGCACCCTGGGAAGCACAGGAAAGTGTCACCTCTGACACCTATACCTGCCCTCCCTGTCAAGTGAGAAGGTGAACAGCTCTCAGCCAAATGGGCTCACATATCCTGGCAAATGCCCCGACTGTGATCTGAACAAACACCTCGGCAGACTGGGAAATGAGCATCTCTCCCACATCATCAGGCTTGTATCAGGTTCTTAGCAAACTTCTAAGTGTTTCTTGAGAGCCACTGGGTTTGCTGACAGCCTGGGGAAGTTCCCTTGGGGGTCTTTGTTCTTACCACCACTTCCAAACTAATTTAAGTTTGTGGTGACTGGGAGCCACTCTCAAATACCCACATTTGAAAGAACATGCATCCTTCATCCTCCTTCATCCCATTCAGTGGTTTTATCTGGAGACAACTCTGTTCTGTCCCTCCCCACACCAAATGGAGTCAGAGCTGGTACTGGGACAACATTGGCAACACAGCAGGACATGTCACAACAGTGATGGCAGCATGTCCCCCACAGCCACACAGTGTTAACTCCGGTAGGAAAGCACTAGTTAGAGTGGAAAAGCTCCAGTCACCAGTCCTGGCAGCAGCAGAGGCAGCACTGGTGCCCGTGTGCTGCCAGGGGCTCTCAGACATGGCTGGTGGCAGCAGCGTTCCTGAACACAGGATGGACTCAGCTCCTCACCAAGAACTTGGGGTCTCTGCACCAACTCCTCTGGGGCACAGGGCAGGGAACAGATCCAGGCCCCAGGGAAAATGCTTTGCCAGATTCAGGAGTGAGCACACAAGAGAACAGTGATGGCAGCACGGACACTCCTCTGGCATTCAAAATGCGGTTTGGGGGTGGTTGGGTGGGAGTTATTTCCCTACAATTACTTACAAGTGCAACTGTCACAGACAGAGAAGCTGCACAGCCCTCAGAACAAGCAGAGCTCCCCTGGAGCACATCCCCAGTTCCAGGAGGACAGCTGGGTTTCTCTGGAATGGATGCCTTGAGAAAACAATTAGCAAAACCAAAATGCTAGAGAAGGCATCCCATCAAAACCACACCATTTCCCACCAGGCTACAGGATCCCCAGCCCAGAGCAGAAATCAGCACAGCTGCTCAGCAACAACAACAACAATTTAATTGTGTTAAGAGACAAACATATTAACAAAATCCACATTTCCATTAAAAAAATTCCTTCTGCCTGGGCACCTGAGCCAAGTCATTCTCTGTTCACAGCTCCACGGTGCTGCAGAGTATCCAGAGAGGCTGGGACTGCTACTGGGAGTAACTGCTGTGTAACCTGGCCAGAGCAGAGAGCTGCACTGCAGCCACATGGGAAGGGACATACAAAATAGTTATGAAAAAATATGCATTTTAAATAAAGAACTTACAACAACTTCAACTTTATACAAACTATCATGGCTGCCATGTCTCAATTTCAGTGTCTCAATTCTAGGAATTATTTTTGAACTCTCAGCATCCTGTTTTCCATCTCACACCACCTCTGCAGTCTCTTTCTCCAGAGAGCTGTCTCTGTCCAGCTTAGTCCAAAGCACCTGAAAATGGAAAAGCACATCAAGAATGTCTCAAGAATCAGAAGTGCAGTTCTGTGAAGAAATAAATCTTGTTTACAATATGGTAAAAGAAAGTGCAGTAACTTTAAAGTATAAGCAATCACACACAAGTAAAACAAAATCTAGTAAAAAAAACCCAAACAAACAAACAAACAAAAAAACCCAAAAAAAACCCCAAAAGAACCCAAAACCCACTGCATATGCCTCAGGGTCCAGCTGAGCCATTCCAGTGCACAGAGGGGCACTCCAAGCCACACTAGGAATTACTGAGGATGTGGAAGCAGAGAGTTTTGCAAATGACTCAGTCCTTTCTCTCCTAAGCAGGTTATTACACAAAGTACTGAAATTAAGTAGAAACTCACCTTCCAAAAAAGCAAATTCATCAATAGCTTCAATGGCATTATCTGAAAAGGAAATTGAGAACAATTAAAATAGATAAGCCAACTCCATATTTGCATCTATTTCAAACTGCAGCATCTGAAATTACATCACAGCACAGTGACCAATTTAAAAGAGAGTTATTTGTTTTGGAGATAGTGTGTGAAATTATTAGTGAAGTAGTAGGCAGAAATTTTTCTCTCCCATCTTCAGAGAAAGAAAGAATAAATTCCTGTTTACTTCAGCACCTCCAGACAGGTGGAAAAATCCTGCATCAGAGCAACCCTTTGCTAAGGCCAGCACAGAACACGCTCCCATACCCAGGTCTTTTCTTTGCAGTGTTTTCCTTTTTCCTTGCTGGGCATACACGTAAGCATCTTTGGCTATGGTTTCAACAAACAGCTCCTGCAAGGCAAAACAGGACAGGTTCACAGAGGAGATGAGAGACAGAATATTCCTGAGGAGAAAGAAAGCTCCTACAAGGCTTCAGCATTGGATCAGAACCTTTATCCTGGTATTACCCCTTCCCAGCAAACAGGTCTGAAAATACCCAAGGAAATGGCTGGGCAGTGATGCACAGGAGAAGCAGTGAGGGAGCAAAGCGGAGCTCCAGCCCTTCCCCAGCTCCGGCAGCCGAACCGCCCGGGAGGGAGCACAGAGCTCCCGGGCAGGCCCGAGCAGCGTCCCCGCAGCCCCGGGGCCGCCCTCACCGTGGCCCGCGCCAGCACGAACACGGCCTCCTGGCTGGCCAGGGTGACGTCCGGGTCCGCCTTCACCAGCGCCTTCACCCGCGCCAGCGGCAGCCGGGCCAGGCGGGCCGGCCCCGGGCCCTGCGGCCCCGCGCCCGCCTCCTCCTCCCCGGGCGCCGGCGGCTCGGCGGGCCCCGGCCCCGGCCCCGGCCCCGGCCCCGGCCCCGGCACGGCCGCCGCCGCTGCCATCCCGCCCGAGCGCTGCGCCTGCGCGGGGCCGGCCCGGGCTCCGCGGGGCCGCGCTGCCGCCTCGGCCGAGCCCCGCCGCGCGGACAGCCCCGGGCACGGCCCTGCTCCTCCCCTCAGCGCAGCGGCTCCGTCCCGGCCCCTGCTCCTCCCCTCAGGGCAGCGGCTCCGTCCCAGCCCCGGGCACGGCCCCTGCTCCTCCCCTCAGGGCAGCGCCGGGCACAGCGGCTCCGTCCCTGCCCCTGCTCCTCCCCTCAGGGCAGCGGCTCCGTCCCAGCCCCGGCTCCTCCCCTCAGGGCAGCGCCGGGCACAGCGGCTCCGTCGCGGCTCCGTCCCGGCCCCGGCTCCTCCCCTCAGGGCAGCGCCGGGCACAGCGGCTCCGTCCCGGCCCCTGCTCGTCCCCTCCGAGCACAGCGGCTCTGTCCCAGCCCCGGGCACGGCCCTTCATCCTCCCCCTCACCGCGTCCCCGGACACAGCCCCACGGCCCCGTCCCTGTCCTCCCCACAGACGGCCCTCGGTGCCTCCCTGCCACCCCCGTGCCCAGCACGGCTCTCTCCTCTCCCCACAGACAGGGACGGGCCCTCCCCGGTGCAGCGGCGGGAGCAGCGGGGCAGGCAGGAGGCGGCGGTCGCTGCTGTCCGCCCGTCCTGTGCCCAGTCAGCTCCCTGTGGGACCTCCCAGCAGCCCCTCTCCATCCCATCTCAGGCTGGTGGGATCAGGCCCTCCAATGCCCCCAGGGTACCCACCGCCCTCCACAGAACCCCCAGGACCACCTCCCTTGGCCCACGACTGCCTGCCTGCCTGCCCCAGCCTTCCCCATGTCCTCAAACTCTGTCTTATCCTTAAACCATCAACAGGCAGGAGACACAGGCACTGCTGGTGGGACACTGTCCCAAAGGGCTGCAGGGATGTGCCAGTCCTGGAGCACGGACACCAGGACCAGCAGCAGGCCAGAGCACCCCTGCCAGGGTGTCAGACCATTCCTGCCTCAGAGGCAGCGAACAGGGACACCAGGACAGCTAGGCACTGTGATGGCTTCTTCACCCTGCCGTGAGGAGCTTCCCCTTGCTTCCCAGAGGAATTAGGCTCTTCAGCAGAGCTCATGTCCCGCATGAAGAGCCTAGTTCCAGGAAGCCATAAGCCCTCACCCAGCTTTTCTGTGCTCCCACAGAGCTCAGCTGTGCACCCCCTGCACCTCCCCACTCTGCAAGTCCTGTGCAGCTTTTAGACCTGACCTGCAGAGGAATCCTGGGCCACCACTGGACAAGGACATTGCCCACCCTCCTGCTCCCATCCCCTTGCATCCCGCAGTCAGTTCCCAAATCTGGGGCTCTCCTTTATGGCCAGCAGGACTTGGTGGGCTGCAAGTGTCAAACAGCAGCAGAGCCAAACTAGTAGAGTACCAAGAGCTGCTCCTCCTCCTCTTTCTCCTCCTCCTTGTGCGGTCTCACCAGGTCTCATCAGGCAAAAGCAACTTCCTGGCGTTGCACACAGCTCCTCACCAGCTGTCAGGAAAGAGCTTCTGGTTTCAAGGGAGGAGGCCTCAGAGAGGCTTGTCCAGAATGCTTCAGGTGGTCTTCAGCAAGGAGGTGAGCACACAGGAAAGCATCCACTGATGGAAGATGGTGAGTAAGAACCAGACCTGGGCTTTGGTGGACAATGGGATGGGACACTGGGAGCCATACGTCCTGGTTGGAAGGGTTTGGGGGATGTCCTTGTAAGGGGCTGAATCTGGCCAACATCCTCACTCCTTCTGAAAGGCAAAGTCCTCCTGTACATCTGAGCTCGATGGAGCTTCAAAGGTCTCTGACCAGTTTCTGGGCTTGGACGAAGGTTTGCTGGGTGAACTTAGGCTGAATATAAATATATGTGAAAGGAGGAGGCCACATTTCCACCGAGTCCAGGAGAGCCCCCACCAATACAAAATTGATTGGAAAAGCTGGAACTGATCATAGTGATGGCAGTGCTGTACATCCAAGGGCTCTGAGCAAGTCCCAGCTCATGGAACAGGCCCCAAACTGATCATTACAAACCACCAAATCATTCAGGTGTCAAAAATCCCAACGGCATGTTTGGGGATCTGGAAAACATTGCCTTTTTCACTAATTTGAGTGAAAGCCCCAGTGATGGTATACAGGAAATGGCACATTCATGCTGCTTCAGCACTGCTATACCAAGTGTGCATTTGAGGGTTTACCAGGAAAACTGGGGTGTTTGCCTGGGGAACTTGCACTTTTGTAAGTCTCTATATATGCATTTAATCAGTTATGTCTAAAAATATTGCATCAGCTTCTCTCCATAGCAGCCTTTCCTTTGTGAAAATAAAAATTATGCAATCACAAACCCAAACTGAAATCCCAGAAGGATAAAAACTCCAAAATCAAAATGTACAGCTCCAGAGAAGCAGCCATCTCCAGTCCAAAGGGACACTGTGGTCTGGGGACAGGGGCTTGGGAGAAAGATGGGGAAGGTAAGGTGTTCCCTCCTCTCTCACAAGGTCCATCTGAGAAGATTAGGAAAAAATGTAGCCCCATCTCATAGCTTTGTGCCATACCTCCAACCTGGCAGTCTTCTTCCAAGAGCTGTTCACAGCCTCCTCCTGGCAGTGTTTCTCTGGAGGCTCTAGAGAAAGGTGAATTTTGGCCACTGAGGAAGCTAAAGGCAGCTCTGTGCTGAAGCAGATGTGTCCTGGTTTGTGTGTGCACAGTGTGAACCACACAGGAAAGACACATGTCAGAAAAGTAGGACAGTCTGCTGCCTCTTGGCCTTGTTTTTTCTGCACACAGCTTTGGTGGGATGAGTCTCAGCAGTGCCATCCCAGCTTTTCCTCCAGGGAGGGATCCAATGGCCCTGTGTGGTCCCCCCCACCAGCTCATCATGGAAAACAGGACCAGTGCAAGGCAGGTTGCTCCCATCTGAGCTCTGGGAAATCTCTGGATCTCAGATTCTGCCCTCCGGAGCTTTGCTACTACCACCCAGTTCCTCTTATTTGATGGCCCTTGGTAGTGGACAGAGGTGGATCAGACCAAAAGACACCATGAACAGTCTCCTGGGTGCCTTCATGGTGGGGTAACCTGGTCCCAGTTTGGCGCAGCCCCATGTTGTTTTTTCAGATATATTCACGACCTTTTTGAGCAAAGACCTTGTTTTGTGGAGAAGACTTAGTGTGAGACCATGTTGAAGGAATACCACATTTCCCAGGGGGAATTTTGACTCATTTTCCTCCATGGTGTTTTAACTGTAACTGTTTTTCTTAATGGTTGCAGATGCATCTGGAGGGGAGAGACGCTGTGGTGAGGCACCTTCGGGCAAAGTTCCAACAGAACAGGAAAGAACCTCCCAGCGTGGGTGGCTGGTCAGAGAGTCACCCTGCAGCCTCTCATGGACCAGAGCCAGGACAGACTGCCAAGGCCTCCAAGGGTGATCCTCTTCAGGAGGCTCCCTGGAGCAGGAGGGACTGCAACAGGCCTTCTCCACCTCCAGGTCAGAGCCTGGGACAGCATTCACCTCATTCTGCCTGTGAGACCCCGGCACGAATGGTGTGTCGGAAGAAGGGGACAGCTCCAGGTGCCAACTTCCACCCAGTGCCTGCAAAACCTGGAGGAGATGTGTTGAACAAGAAGGTGGAAGCCAGCTCTGATCCTCCCCACAGGAAGCCAGCCCAGCAGACATGGCCACCTGCCAAAGACAAGGGGGCTCCAGTGGTTCTTGCCAAAGGTGCAGCTGCTGCAGCCCCCCTGCTTGCTGTGGGAAGCCCCCAAAGGACAGAGCACCCAGCTCTGCCCCGGAGGAAGCCTTTGCCACCTGTCAGGGCACTGGGAGTGAAGCCAGGCAAGCCCCGGCGCCCTCCTGATGTGGATTTGGCAAAGTTCAGAGCAGCTGCACACCCTGGGAAATCCATCTGTCCTGCCACAGAACCACCACGGAGTGCTCAGCTGGGTATGGCCAGGCATGGGAAGGTCCCTCAGGGAAGGGAGCTGCTCATTTAGGAAGGAAAATCTCCGCAGTTAGAGCCTGAGCTCCTGGGAGATGGAAATATTGGGAGGGCTTATGGAGAGGTGGGGGCTTGTATTACCAGAGGGGCTTTTATAGGCAACAGCATGAAGATGAGAATGAGAGAGAAGGAGGGCAGGGAATGAAAGTGTCCTGTCCCTGGCTGGGGGAGTGTTTGTAGGAAGTAAGATTGGAGTAAGTAACATGAGCGATATTGCCAAACTGGAGTGAGCCCAGGATGGCTGGGGACTGGAGCACATGGAGAAGGAAGGGCTGAGACCCTGGCTTGTTCAGCTGGTAGGAGAGGGAAGAAGGGGAGATCTCAGTGCCCACAGCTACCTAACAGGGAGAAAATGGGGCCAGACTCTTCCCAGAGGTGCCCAGGGGGTGATGGGCATGACCAGCAGGGGAGGTGCCAGTCAGACACTGCCCCACCATGTTCCACAGAGCTAGGCCACTGTGATGGTTTCTCACAGTTGCTGTTCTGCTAATCCACACTGCAGGTGATGAAAACTGTTTCAAATAACTTTTCTTTCTCAGTTTCTCTAACCATGAGAGTAGACTTCCCTTCCTTTCCTTACGAGAACCGAAAAATCAAGCTGATCTATGTTATAATTAAAAGGTGTTATCAGGGCTGGCCACGCTGTTGTGCTGGGAATTCTCTCACATGACTAACTACAAGTATTTATTTGTCTCATGGGTTCTGAGGCAAGCTGCAATATCTAGAATCATGCCTTGCCTTGATTTGATAATTTTTGTTATTTTTTAGGGCAATCTTACAATTTTTAGGACCAAGTATCTGATTGTGTATTATTTGGTACCATAAACCAGCAGAGATTTGATGTTGTACTCAGGTCTTTGTGCCCATTCTTGTTTGGTCTGGTTGACCAGGCTGGAGACAAGGCTTGTGATACAAATAAGGGCATGTTAGCAGGGGTGTGGTCATGCTGGCAATCCTAAAAGGGGCAGCAGTATGTTCTGGTTATGATGCTCCTGAGCCATGTGGACATATGCAGGACTTGCCCTGACTTTGGTACATATCTGAAATTTAGGGATTTTCCACATTCATGATACCTGTTTTGGCTTCTTCCCATCTCCTTCCATCATTTGTCCAAGAAGAAAGTAACATTAGAAATATACAAATGGAAAAATACGTATTCAAGGTCCTCAGTGAGGAACCTCATGAGCTGTGCACCAGTGTGCTGGAAAAAATCCCTAGATGGGCTATGGAGTAAAATACTCCTTGCTCTATCAAGATGTGTAGTCAGTTTTTTATCTCCCCACCTTCCCCTGCACTAAGTCCAGCCCGGAATGGCTCTGCCCTCAGGGTGGCTGATAGAGCTGAAGAGAAAATATGAAATAATTCTTCCCTGCTCCCTCCCGTTATGTTGTTTGTCACAGGTCGCCTGCAGCCAGGCTGTGCTGCACCAGTACCTGCACGGTTCCCTCTGCAGGATGCTCCGAGTGACACGGGGTAAGGACTGAGGCAGCACTGCTGTTCCAGGCTGTGCCAAGCCACTGGGAAGGGCATGAGGTGTGACAGCAAGAGGATGTTTGGGTTTTCCTGCCTGCTGCTGGAGCCCAGGGTGTGGAAGCAGGTCCCACAGAGTGAAGCACGACCATCCCTTGGGGCGGTGTTACCTCACTGTGGCCATTGCACCCTGCTGTCCCTCCACATCCAGCTGTGTGAGGAGCTGCTGGCCCAGAGCCAGGGCCAGTGCATGGCCAGCCCACCCTGCTCCTGGCAGCCCTGATTCTGCCCTCAGCCCCCAGCACCATCGCCAGCAGCACTTCTAACTGTGCTCTGTCTCATTGCAGGGATGAAGATGAGCTGTACGATGACGTTGAGCCTGTTGAGCTGGCCAGGAGAAGCCCAGGCCTTCTGCTTCCTTCTGTGTCCCAGCTGCCAGTGTATCCCTGCCCCAGAGGAGGTGAATGCAGGAGGGGTTTGGGTGCTGTTTGGGGTGAGAGCTGCGAGGCCCCAGTGAGCCACGGGCAGCAGCAGGGCCTGTGCTAAACCTGCTGCTCCCCCACACAGGAGGGCAGCGGGTTCCTCTTGTAAATGGGCACAGGAAACCCTGATCCCCCACACCTGGGGGCAAACTCAGGATTTGGTCCCAGGAGAAGAGAGCTCCTGCTGCTCTTTGTATCCTGTTTTGGCAAGTGTTTACACCTCACAGCAGCCTCATGGCAGCACCTCTCCCGGGGTTTGGTTTTTCAGGTGGAAATGCTGGCCGAGCCTCTAACAGGGTTACCTTGCTGGCAGCTACACTGAGGTAATGGGGTGTTTTTACTCTTTCTAAGGGTCCCAAAATGGCCAGGGCTCCTTGCTGCTCTGACAAAGTTGCTGCTTTAATGGTCTCTGCTGGACTTGCAATAGGAAGGTCTGTCATGAAAAGCACAAGCTGCAGGACCTTGCCCTGAGAGCCTCCACTGCCCCAGGGCTGGCACAGGGAAATGCAGCAGGGAGCAGCTGGCAGGGAGAAGGGGATGGATGGGAGGGAGAGAGCATGAAGTCATCTGCACCTTCCCATGGCTTTCAATGGCTACAGAGAATCCCAGATCTCCCAGAAGATGAAGACCGTAACACTCAAGGCATACAAGAAGGAAGAGAAAATGGACAGGGAGTTTCAGAAGAAATTCAAGGTGAGCAGCAGCAAGTGATCACTTTTCCCTTTGAGCTTCTTCTCCCCTTCTGAGAAGGACGCAGTGCAATGGCAGAAAGGAGCTGTGCTCCACAGGCACCAGTGATACCCAGATCACACCTGCCTTGTTCCCCCGGGTCACACCAGTCCCACAGACTATTTGGCCAAAGAGGAATCTGTTTATTTTCAAGGAGGGAGAGCAGCCAGACCTGCCTGACTCAACTGCCATGGGCACTGCTGTTTGTGTTTCAGTTCAAAGGCAGCATCAATGTCCTGACTCAGATGATGGTCGACCCTGCAGCGACAGAGAAGAGGGGCGGAGTGAAGAGCCTGCCAGTGAGACGGGGAGAAATCCTTGATGTCATTCAGTTTACAAATCAGGAGCAAATCCTCTGCCGGAACAGCCAGAGGAGGTGTAAGTCTAGAGGGTGATGGGGAGAACAGGGAGTTCTCTGCAGGGAGAACAGCACAGTTTTGGGAAGAAGCTTCTTCGTGCAAACACCCCCTGGCAGACCTCCTGACAGATCTCCTCTACCTGTGAGACAGATCTGACAGGTACCCTGCTACCCTGAGAAGGCTCCCACTTTTCTCTCTCACTGTCCTGCTCTTCCTTCCACTCAGCAGCAGCATTTCTGCTGTGAGCTGGGCTTGTCCTTTCCCTCTGCTAAAAGCTTTTGCAGTCCTCAAATCCTCCAGGTGCAATGGGCTGCAGATCCCTCAGGCACAGGGGAAGGGATCAGGCTCTTCCCTGCCAGCTGCCATTAGGCCTGGCAGGCTCCTTCCTCACACTGCCCAGAGCAGGTTCCTCCTGAGGGTCCAGCTCAGCTGCCCAGAGCTGCATTGCTCCTTGTCCCAGCTTTTTTTGGGAACGTGAGGTGTTGCTAAACCCTGGGCAGGGGCAGGTGCTGGGGTGATTCCTGCTCATGCCCTGATTCCCAGCACAACCTGACATGTTTTTCTTCACTCTGTTGCAGATGGCTACGTGCCCCGGGCCGTGATGCTGCCTCTGTGAGTACCCTTTCCCAGCCCCTTATCTCCACTCCATGAGCTGCAACAACTGCTCCATGAGTGGCCAGTACCAAACTAGTCCTGGCTGACAACTCAAAACTACCCAGCTCAGGCTGTGACCATAAGCCTAACACCAGCAGATTCTCCTGGGCTGGAATCTGCCATTTCTGGTGTCAGGAGAGATTCTGTCACTGAGGCACTGGAAGCACTCCCCAGGCTGTGGTCCCTCTTGTGAGACCTGCCCAGACACTGCTCAGAGGCTGCTGCTGGGACAGGATGAGGGTGCAGCCCCTCTGCAGGGCCAGATCTGCAGCTCCTGGCAGCCCGGGATGAGGCCACCGTCCTGAGAGGGGCCAAAGTCATCCTAACCTCACTCCAGATGGTCCCAGCCATGCAGGGAGAGCACAGCACTGGGAGGGGGAAACGGGGCCGGGGCTGCAGGTGGAACACCAGAGACCACAGACAGGTCAGGAGGAAGTGAGACAGACACGGCAGCAGGAGCTGGCCCTTCAGGGTTGGGAGGTGGTGGAATGTGGGCCACCACACTACCCACAGCACCCCATCTTTGTCCTTGCAGGGACACTGACATCTATGACGATGTTGAGATTTATGGTAGGTGCACAGAACTGCTGCCATACCCCTCCACTGACCACAGTGACCACCACACCAAGCACCAGGATTCCCCTCCTCCTGACCCTTTGCTGTTTTGCTGCCTTCCCTCTCTGTCTTCCCTCTGTGTAATTCCTCTTCATCTCCCTGAGGTTTCCTTTACTTACTCACAGTTCCCTAAAAGTCTTCATGTTCCTCTGTTCCCAGTTATTTGGGCTTCTGTGCACCCTGTTCTCAGCTTGTATTCCATCTCTGCTCACAAGCACACACGTTATGTAATTCTGGCAGGCTGAGCTAACCACACTGAGGCCAAAGGCACAAGACAGCACCACAGAGACCTCCCCAAGGGCTGAAACATCAACAGCACCAGCACCTAGCTCCTTTTGTGAAGGAGCTCTGCTTCCTCTGAGACTGACTGCAAAACCACCTTTTTCTGTTCCTGCCAGAGCAGAACAGTAGCATGGCTCTCAGCACCTGGAGCTGCACAGATCCTGTCCCAGATCCTCGAGTCACACCATCACCATAGCTCTGTTTTGTCTTTGTAAAATACAGAAATGGTTCAAGAGGGTTTTATGGCCTTTTTTTCTTTTGGGAGCTAGGGAGAGAGGGGGGTGAAATCAGGCCCATAAAGATTTTAATATTTTCCCATTCCCAGAGCATCTTGAGCCTGGGACCCACCTGCCCTTTCTGCACCACACTCTGGCCCTGGTGGCACTCCTGGCCTGAACCAGAGGCAAACTGGACAGAGAAATACTCTAAAATATCACGAATTATGGAACCAGCAGCATCTCATGGCCTTGGGGCAGATTCCCTGGGGAGCTGGCAGGAGGTTGGATCTGTTGGGGCAGATATTTGTGTGGGAACATTCAGCATCACCTGTTGGTGCCTTGGGCTGTGTCTGCAGATGCCACGGGAAGTTCTCTCATTCCTGAGAAAGTTTCCCTTTGCAGACCCTGCCCATGAAGACCTCACGGATGGGGGCAGGATCGGAGTGCACTCACAGCCAGTGGGCAGCACAAATCTGGTGCAGGACGCAGATCTGGTGGCAGATCTTTTGGATCAGGAGCAGTGAGGAGTCCTGGGGCTGAGCCCCTGCTCTCACTCTACACACTGGCCCCCATCCCAGGGGCTGGAGGGTTAAACTGGGAGGGTTCAGCACCTCACGGCGGGATGCCAAGCCCAGATTAACCAGTTGAAGACGTCACTTTCCATTATGGGAAAGGCTCCCAAATATCCCTGAAGCTTTTGGTTGTGGGGATTAACCAGCAGCACACTCAGCTCCTGGCACAGAGCAGGGGTCCAGTGGCACCGTGGGGCCCACGGCCATGAGTGGGGCTGGGAGCTGCTCCCAGGGGCATCATCTGGGGGGCTGAGGACAACCATGTGGGAGTGGGTCAGAAGAGCTGTGCTGCACTCACTGTCCACAGCCCTCCTGCGCCTCTGGAAGTGGGCACGAGCTTTTTGGTACAAAAATGGCCTCTTGACTCTCTCGATGCTGTCGGTGGTCACTGGATGCCTCCTGGGGTTCCTGCTGCGGGCGCTGGAGCTGACAGACCTGGTAAGCCTGGCCGGGATAGTGATGGGAGTGAGGGGCATGCAGTGGGGCAGGGGGCAAGCCCTGGTGTCCAAGTAAGGGTCCCAGATGGGCACAGCCACAAAAGCAAAGAGACCTGCCCAAGAAAACCACCTCAAGGCACGTTTGTGCCCATGGCTTTTTTCTGTTTTCTCTTACCTCCCTCCAATGAGAGTGGGGAGCTCTGAGTTGGACTCCATGGGGCTGCAGGAACTCGAGTTGGGATGAGGATGGGAAAGGGGGGAATGTTTACTCAGGGGCTGTATGCTCAGTAAATGGGCTCCCCCCAACAGCACCAGCAGCGTTGGGATCTGAGGGAGGAGGTCCAGGGGATGGGGTTAGAGGGATGGGGTTAGAGGGATGGGGTCTGCCCATTAGTCTCCCCAGCTGTGTGCAATCAAAGCACATTTCCATGCTCTGGGGAGGACTCAGCAAATAAATAGAGGACTGGTGAGGAGCCTGGAGCTCTTTGAGGAGTCACCTTCCTTTGAGGAGCCTTGGAGACAAATGCATTGGAGAACACACATGAGAAGGGCACAGCTGGCTCAGCAGGAGCATCGTGCTGCAGAACGGGCCGAGCTGAGATCTCTGACTTGGGGCAGCTGGGCCAGCTCAGCCCTGATCCTCAGCCAGTCTGCTGGGCCCAGGAGGGGAATGCTGCTCCGGGAGAGCTCGGCCACTGCTGGAACATCCCTGTGCTGCCCATTAGGATTTAGAAAAGTCTTGTCATTTCAATTAGGCCCTTCAGCATCAGCGCGGCAGGGATGATCTCGTTACTTAATTGAAGCTGGGTGTAATCTCCCTGCATCCCAGTGCATACACCCCTGAGAGCCCAGCAGCCACCCATGGTGGGCATGACGCTGGCAGAGTCTTGGGGCTCCAGCCCCTCGTCCTGCCACGCATCAAGTTTATCCATCCTCTGCTCCAGCCCATCCTGCCCTGTCACCACAGCTCTGCTCTGGGCCTGGCAGCCACTAGAGACTGTCCCCACTGGAGACTTCTGTCACAAACTGTGGAGGAGAGCTGGAGAGGTGGCCAGTCCCTGCTTTCCTCCTTGCAATGGGAAAGTGTCACAAAGCTGAGAGAACCCCTGGCAAAGAGATGCTGTTCAGATCTGGCCCATGGCAGCTCCGCTCCCTGGGGACATCAGCCATGTCCAGGTCACACACTGGGACAGTGCAGGGGCAGCACAGGGGAGCAGTTGAACAGCTCCTTGGCACCTCTGAAAGCCCCAGCATCAGGTGGTGGCTTCTTGTCTTGGAGACAGCTCAGATCCCTCCCTGACACCTCTACAGCGGCACAGTGAAATGGGGGGATCAGGGATGGAGGGAGAGAAGATGGATGGATGGATGGATGGATGATGGATGGATGGATGATGGATGGATGACGGATGGATGGATGGATGGATGGATGGATGGATGGATGGATGGATGGATGGATGGATGATGGATGGGTGATGGATGGATGGATGGATGGATGGATGGATGGATGGATGGATGGATGATGGATGATGGATGGATGGATGGATGGATGGATGATGGATGGATGGATGGATGGATGGGTGGATGGATGGATGGATGGATGGATGGATGATGGATGGATGGATGATGGATGATGGATGGAGGGATGGATGGATGATGGATGGATGGGGGATGGATGGGGTATGGATGGATGGATGGATGGATGGATGGATGGATGGATGGATGGATGGGGGATGGATGGGGTATGGATGGATGGATGGATGGATGGATGGATGGATGGATGGATGGATGGATGGAGGGATGGTGGGTAGATATAGGATAGAGGGAAGGAGGGATGCTGACCAGGCTGCTGGTCCCACAGACCCCTCACTCTCCCCTTAGTCATGGCTGTGGGATCCAGACTTTGGGGGATGTCTCTGCAGCCCTTCCCCATGTCCACATGAGGGTTGTAGCGGGTGGAGAGGTGCCATGGCACTAAAGTTGTCCCATGGATGGGTCAGACACCTGGGCTCTCCCTGAGCTCGTCTTTTCCACCTGCAGCCACGAGATAATTCCCACCTTTTGTTGCTGCCCACAGCTTTGGGGCACTTTTGCCCCAAATCAGATGCAGCCAAGCCTCTGCTACCTGATAATGAGTGCAATGACTTTTGGGAGGAACCAGTGGTGGGGCCATGTGAACCATTCCCTAGAAGGCTACAGAACCAAGAATGTTTCTGGGAGGGGACAGCCCCACATGCTCCTCCCTTGTTTGCAGCCAGGTTTGCCATGTGGCCAGGATTCCCCATCCCTGAGCCAACTCCCAGTAAGGGACAGCAGAGAAATGGCATCATGGAGTGCCTCAAGGAGTGGCTGCCAGTTCAGAACCAAGCTCAGAGCTGGGTCTGGTTGGGAAAAAGGCAGATTGATCAAGTTTGGGCCCTTAGCCCATAATCATTTACCTGACACATGCTCTGCTCTATGTGCAGGAGAAGCAATATTTTTCCTTTCCTGGAGAGCTCCTCATGAGGATGCTGAAGATGCTGATCCTGCCCTTGATCACCTCCAGGTAAGACACCACCTTCTGCTCTAAAGGGCCATCTTTCCATCACATTGAAAAGATCACCCTGCGACCCCCCATTGAGGAGATCACCCCAAAACTGCATGGGGTGAGAATAATCCTGGCTCCAAGAGCTGGCAGTCAAGCAGATGGCTTGGTGTCCCTCAAACTCCATGATTTCCCAGCAACAGTCTGGGACAAATCCTCATCTGGAGGCAGGCACTTGCACTCATCTCAGATACCTGCACTGGCTGGGTATTTCCCTTCTTTTGGGCAGCTGGTGGTGCCAGGACCATCTGTGGGCAGTTGTGATGTGCTGTTTAACCTCAAAGCAGATTCTCTTAGAGGGATTTGAGAAAGTTCAGGTAAAAAATCATGAGCATTCCCCAGTACTGTGTTTTGTGTTTGCAATCCTCATTTTATTGGCCCATACAGACCTAGAAATAAGAAACAGAGCCAGCACTCCTCCTGGGGTCTAAGCAAGTTCTTGAAAACCTTGTATGGATTAATGTATTGCAAACAATATGTTGGCATGTGCCCATCAGACACACACAAATGATCAAGTCCATGTTCCCTCGAGGGTGTGTCTTTTCTCTGTTGTTTGTCAGAGTTTGCTTGTTGTCCCATTTGCCTCTGGTTCATTTCTGAGAACAGAGTGGTCCCTATCCTGGCCACTCTTGACCTGTTGAGTACCAGCCCTTGTACAGAGGTCTGTACCTCCCATCCCTCTCTGAGGTGCCTGAGGGTTTCCCTTTGCTTTCAGCCCTCCCTGTGACTCAGTTGCTGAGTGGTCTCCTCTGATCACGCTGCTGTCTGTGGGTTCAGGGTCTGCAGAGCCTCCTGGGAGTTTTCTTTCATGTTAGATTGAACCAGGTGAATGATGGTGGTGTCTTCCCTCTGTGCACCATCCCAGAGGGGACTTGGTGTGCTCTGGGATGGAGCTCTGGAGATCCCCAAGCCCCAAGCTGGAAAGCACCACCTATGTCAATATTGCTTTTCTGTCTTGAGTTTCCAAGGCCCTTCTCCTCCTGGACGTGTGGCTGCTGAATGGGATCCATGGGCTGACCACCACCTCAGCCACCCTGTGTGTCCCCAAGGCTGGCACTGACCCTGCAGCCTTCAGTTGTGTCCTGTCTCAGGGTCAGGGCTTGGCTGGGTTCTGGAGAGGCTCAGTGTGGGTCTGTATGCATAGGGGGTACACAGCAGCTCTCAAACACTCACATTTCATAGAATCTTGGAATATCCTGATCTGGAAGGGACCCACAGGGATCATCAGCCCAGCCCCTGTCCCTGCCCAGACCCCCCAACAGCCCCACCCTGAGCAGCCCTGAGAGCGCTGTCCAAACGCTCCTGCAGCTCTGGCAGCCTCGGGGCCGGGACCATTCCCTGGGGAGCCTGGGCAGTGCCAGCACCCTCGGGGGGAAGAACCTTTCCCTGAGCTCCATGCCAAGGCCTGGCACAGCTCCAGCCCTTGCTGGGCTCCAGGAGCTGTCCCAGAGCAGAGCTCAGCCCCTGCCCCTCTGCCTCCCCTCGGGAGGAGCTGCAGCCCCCGAGGAGCCTCCCCTCATCTCCTGTGCTCCAGCTGAACCAGCCAAGTGCCCTCAGCCGCTCCTCAGACCTTCCCCAGCTCCGTGTCCCTCCTTGGGACACTCTCCAGCAGCTTTGGATCCTTCTGACCTTGTGGTGCCCAAAGTGCCCCAGCACTGGAGCTGAGGCTGCCCCAGGGCAGAGCAGAGTGGGACAATCCCTCCCTGGCCTGCTGCCCCCAGGACAGGGCGGCCCTTTGGGCTGCCAGGACCCAGCGGTGACTCAGATCCAACTTGCCACTGACCAGGACCCCCAGGTCCCTTCCCACGGTGCTGCTCTCCAGCCTCTCATTCCCAGTGTGTCCCTGCATCCAGGGCTGCCCCATCCCAGGGCAGGAACCAGCACTGGATATCCTTAAACATCACAGGGCTGGGGATTTCCCAATCCTCACACTTGTCAGGGTCTCCCTGTGGGGCCTCTCTGTCCCTGAAAATGTCAGCAGTTCCTCCCGAGTGAGTGGCCTCAGCAAACCCATTCCTGTACCAAACCTGTCCCCACCAGCAGCGTGCTCTCCCTGTGGGGCAGCCTGTAATGCCCTCTCTATTTTTAGCCCAGTTTTGCTGAGAAGTAGCTTATGGGTTACTTCTTAGGAAAGCTTACATGTGCATGAAATCTGAACCTGCAGGCCTCTCCTGGGGGCATGGAGTCCATCTCCACCAGGATTTGATGAACCTTGCTGGTACCTTCCCTTGCTCCTCACAATGACACATAGCAGCGGCACGAGGTGATGGAGATATAACAGGATCTCATGAAAAAGGGCAGCATCAGTTATTCAATGTAAAATTACAGTAAGAATAGAAACTTCCTAACCCTCACAGAAAACAGAAAACACAGCCAGACCTTGAGAAGGGGCTTGGAGGTGTCTCCTGCCCTTCACAGCTCAGCTTGGGTTGTCACAAGCTCTTCCTGGATGCAAGAGCTCAGTGATGCCCTTAGACTTTGGTTTAAAAAACCTGTGAAAACCCCTCCCACCCTGGAGATTTTGCCCATCAGGTGCATCTTGTGCAGTGTGGGGAGCAGGCAGTGACCACTCTGTTCTGTGCTGCAGCCTCATGTCTGGGCTGGCCACCATGGACTCCAAGGCCTGCGGGAAGATGGGGGTGATCACCATCACCTACTACCTTTGGACAACCTTCATGGCAGTGACTGTGGGGATCATCCTAGTGGTCAGCATCCATCCTGGTGCAGCTGCCCAGAAGGACAACTACTCTGTGCGGAAAGTGGTGCTCAGCTCTGCTGACGCATTACTGGATTTAATCAGGTGTGTCACAGGACTTCAGCAGAGCCAAGGTTGTGATAACAAAATCTTCCCAGAAGGTTTTGAGGTCCCAGAAGACCCTGAGATCTCAAGGGGAACAGGAGAACCGCTGGCCAGGTGCTGGTACCTCCAAGCCCAGCAACACGGGGTCCATTTCTCCTCACCCGTGCCCCTCTGGCCACACTGCCACTGCTCTCCCAAAGCCATCAGCAAAGAACTGCACTGCAGCAGAGATCAGACAGAGCCGTGTTCTCTGTAAGGTTTGGATTCTCCTCTGCAGCCCCAGCTGGGCCATGCCAAGCCCAGAGCTGGCCCAAGCTGGGTTAAGGCAGTGGATGAAGTTACTTGGGGAGGGCTTGCAGCAAATACCCAGGGGCTGGGGGAGAAGCTCCATTTTGGGGCTACTGGACCAGGCTCTCAGCAGGGGGCTGCAGATGGCAGATGTCTATCCCAGGCTCAGCCTTTCCACCAAACCCATTTCCACATGGTTCTCAGTCCTGCTTTGCATTCACCTCCAGCCTTTCTGTGCTCTCAGCCTGCACAGCTGTCATAAGCTGTTTGTCTGCAAGAGGCTTTCGTGTCCTCTTGCAGACATTGTGCCCACCAGAAATGCTTCCCAGGATGCTCCCTATGCTCTCATAACTCACTTTAACCCTGTGTCATTGGTCTCTTACAGAAACATGTTTCCTTCTAACCTGGTGGAAGCTTCGTTCCAGCAGGTGAGTTCCCCTGACCCCTCTGTGTGCAGCCAGGATGGTGCTCAGCTCCTCAGGGGCTGTGTCTTTGCCCACCCACAGCCTGGACAGAGCCCCTTCCCTTCCCTGAACCTCCCCTTCCCTTCCTCTGCATCCCCCCACACTCACCCAGGCAGGCAGCTGAAGGTAGGAGGGTGTTGGGGTGGGCACAAGCTGACAGGGACCCCCGTGCTGCTCTCTGCCTGCAGAGGAAGCAGCACACATCCCTCAGATCCTGCTCCTCTGCAGCAGCTTTTTAATCCCTGGGGAGTGGCAGCCATGGGGGGAGGCGGCAGCGGGCAGGGAAAGGGACACAAGGAAGGGACACAAGGAAGGGATGCCTGAGAGAAGGCAGAGTGGTCAAAGGGAACAGATGGAAGGACAGGGGAAAGAAGCAAACTCCTGGCATTGGGTAAGCATTAGCAAAGCTCCCAGGAGGAGCGATGGAGGGACAGAGGGGCCCCAGTGCTGTGCTGGCATCCCACAGGGACCCGGGTCACTAACACCACGAGTCTGCTCTGCAGCCTTGCAGCAAACAGCCACAGCTCCCCTTGCCTGACTCTCACTCCTTGTTCCCAGCAGCCTTTTACTGCCTGAAAACCAAACCTTTGACCTGCAGGAGCACCCAGCCTAGGGCTGGCTTGGCCCCTGTGTTGAGAGCAGCATGGAGCTGATGCCAGCAGCACACTAACCTCCGTCTCTGCTTCTGTTCCAGTACCGAACCGTTCTTGTCCCGGTGGTGAAGTCTCCTGCTTTTCCAAAGATCCCAGGAAAACCTGTCAATTTTATTTACTTTGCACCTGATGACAAAAACCCTGAAATCCATCGGCCTGTGTTCCTTGAGCTGACACCATCACCCGAGATGACCTACAGGACCCTGGCTGGGACCAGCAATGAGATGAATGTCCTGGGCATTGTCATCTTCTCAGCAACCATAGGTACCTGTTGTACTTCCTTCACAGCCCACGTGCAGGTCCTGAGGGGTTTCAAACCATTACATAAACTGGGGATTCCTTTGAATGTAGTCTGAAGTGAGGTAATTTTGCAGAGGCTGCCTGGGACACAGCTCACCACACAGCCCCAAACCCTTCACGCTGAGTGCTCAGCCCCTGAGCAGGCAGGATGTCCCAGCAGGGTCAGATTTGGGGCTATTACAAATAGATGAGGATTCCCAACAGGACTTTCTGAAGGAGGTAGGGCAGCATCCTGCATTGAACACTTGCAGTCCTGTGTGCAAAAGGGGCTTGGCAGCAATTTTGGGGAGGAAGGAGCAGAGGTTGGGGAGAGACATGTGCAAGAGAGGAGGTTTAAAGGGGAGAAAGTAATTGAAAGGAGGAACTTGAAACTGCCTCAAAGCAGAAGAGGACACAGGTGCAAGGCTGAGGGAGAAAGGGAGGGAGGAGGGATCAGGAAGGAAAAAGAGTAGGAGGCACTGAGATGAGCATGGTGGCAGGATTATGAGTAGATTAAGAGGTGAGGGCAAGGAGCTTGAACTTTGTGTATAAGGAACCAAAAAGCCAATTAGAAGATTTGAGGTGTGGAGGCAGCACAGCCAGCACAGCACAGGAGTGTGCTGGACTGCAGTCAGAGCCACGAGCAGCAGCCAGTTCCAAATGTGAGACCTCAGAGGAGGTGGCCACAGGGAGATTGGGCAGAGCCAGAGCCACTGACAGATCCCTACAGCCAGAGAAATGCCTCTGGCAATCTCCTGTCCCAGCAACCACCAGCCTCTGCACCTTGGACACCCAGAAAAGCTGCTGAGCTCCTGCCCACAGGACACGTGCCCCCTCCAGCCCTGACAAACCTGCAAGGAGAAGCTGCTTTGCTCTCCTAAGATGACACTCCACAACCCCTCCAGCGTGGGAGTGGGATCAGTCAGAGCCAGGAGGCAGTGGGAGATCACCTGAGCCAGCCCCAGCATTTCCCAACCTGCATTTCCCACGTTTGCCCAGGATTAGAGCTCCCCAGACTGGCACAGCATCACCTGCACCGGGCACAGGCAGATTGGTACAGGGCATTCACACACCCACAGGGGCTTTCCTTACGAGGAGGGGCTGAACTGAGTTTGCCTGGAGAAAACAGGAGAGGGACAGGCACCACAGCCCCATGCCTTGGGAAATAGGGATCAGCTCCTCCGTGCAGCGAGGTGGGGCAGGTGGGAGCTGTCGAGCTCCCAGCACAGTATTTGTGTGCAGCACCAAACCAGGCAGCTCGTGGGGCTGAGACAGAGGCATCCCTGCAGCAGCCAATAGGTACCCGGAGTGACTCTGCTGTGAGGGGTGACCCCACACAGCTACTCCAGCTCTGACAGCTCTTCACTGTCACTGAGGGCCCCTCTGTTGCTTTTGAAACCCATGAGAGGGCAGAGCTTTCAAGATCCTTGCAGGAATCTGTGTACTTGGGCCATGTCTCCCAAATCAGTTCTGTAGGACTTGAAGAGAAATTACTTTCTTCCAGAGTAGCTGTTGTGGCTACCAAATACTGGATGAATGTCCACAGAGCTGAGATTTAAACATGCCAAGCCTTGTCTCATTTCTGGCAAATGTGACCCCACCTCATGTCCCTTTTGAGCAAGGCAAGAGTTCTGACCACCAACAAACGGCCTCTTGGAGTCCTCAGCCCTGAAGATTGAAGAGGGATAAGCAGGACAAGATCCTGTTTATATTCTTATTTTCCAAGATAAAACAGACACCTGCATAGTGCTTCAAAATTAATTTTAGCCAACACAGGAAGAAAGACTTGCACCAAGCTGGAAACAAGATGGGCAAATGCTCAAAGGTTCCTTTTCCCTTTGCTTGCTGGGCTCCTGGAAAGCCTCCCAGCCAGTGAAAGCAATGGGGTTTGGCACTGGCAGACAGGACAGCACATAACCCTTCTAACCATTCAAACCATAGCCTGTATTTCTGCTCTGGTATTCCTTCAACAGAGAATTAGGCTGGATTGGGTTAATGCAACAACATCAAAGGAAAAAAACAGACTTAGGAGAGAAGGCTTAATGCCTGTATCTAAGCAACTCACTCAGATCCTTCCTGACATCACACTGTACAGCCACATGTGTGTCACACCATGGCACAGCCTGTGAGCCACCAACACCCAACAGCCTGGCCCATGAGGGACCAGGTGTGGGACCTGGGCACTGCTCAGTCCCTGGGGCAGCCAAGGCCCCTTTCACTGCACAGCAGGGCAGGGATGCAGCACAGCATCACATCCTCAGCTGCAGAGAGCCCTACCACACCTTATCCTTAAATGAATTCCATTTTTATTTCTAGAGTTCATTATTCTTGTATTATCAAATAGCAGTCCAGATATCCACCTAATCCAGCTAATCCACAGTTTATCCACCCCAGGAAATTACTCTTCCAGCACTGAGCAGCAGTGAAGTTTATGTTTTCTGTGCAAGGAAGAGTCCAAATCCTGGATTTGGGTCTGGTGGGGCTTTGTGAGCAAAGGCCAGATGCTTGTGTTTGCTGGGAACAGAGAATGGCTCTGACTCGTAAGAGCAGAACTAAATCAGGTTTTTCCTGGTGACCCCCATTCTGTGGCCACCAGACCCTCGAGACACTTGGTCTGTCAGGTGCTGCTCCCGTGGTGCTCCCAAGTAAAGTAACGTGCTGTGCTTGCTTGCAGGACTTCTCCTGGGGAAAATGGGCGAGCGAGGAGCCCCGCTGGTTAACGTGTGCCAGTGCCTGAACGAAGCAGTTATGAAAATTGTCTCGATGGCCGTTTGGTAAAACTGGTTTTGATTGATTGATTGATTGATTGATTGATTGATTGATTTTCTTTCCTTCTATCTGGTTACACATCTGCAAGTGTCTGCTGTGAGCACTGAATTTTTTGTAGAATTGTACTGCACAGTACCAACCACTGCCATTTCTAACCTGCAGTGCTATAGTGATTGCTGCACCCTCATAATTTTTTATGCTTATTTTTCACAGGTACTTCCCCTTTGGCATCGTATTTCTCATAGCTGGAAAGATCTTGGAGATGGAAGATCCATCGGTTATTGGACAGAAGCTGGGACTGTATGTCATTACAGTAGTATCAGGGCTTGCCTTCCATGGAATCATCCTCCTACCTCTGCTTTTTGTGCTCATCACCAAGAAAAACCCCTTTGCTTTTATTCAGGGGATACTGCAAGCCTTGCTGATCGCCTTAGCTACATCCTCCAGGTAGGAAAGCATGGCTGGAAGCTGTGGGTACTGCAGGGCAGGGATCTGGTTTAGCAAGGGACACATGGCTGTGTCTGGCCAGCTGAGCTCTGGGGGGACAGGTAACTGAAGGAAAACTGTGCTGCAGCACTGTTGGAAATGGGAATGCTCCTGGTTTAGGAGGAAGCAGATGCTTGGCCCTGCCCTAGTTAGCCGACCTGGGCAGCTTGTGGTGCTCTTCCAGTCACCCTCTCCCAGGGTTTTCCCAGAGCAAACCAATGTTTTTGTGCGTGTGTGCACACTTCATTCGATTGCTGCAGTTTTCTTTCCATTAATTCAAACGAGGACTGTTGTAGGTGCTTTATAAACTGCATGGGGTACAACCCTGGAATGTAATTGAAAACACCAAAAGCACTTTGGAACACTTTACTGACAATCTAAAATCAGTTACAGTGTATCCCAAGTTCATCCACAGAAAAATCTTGCCTACTTTGAAGAGATTTTAATAATTTTATATTTATCTATTATTCTATTTTCATTGAAATACATTCCTTATAACAATGAAAAAGACTTCACACTATAAACTACTATCCTTTCCAGAAGACACACAAATTCAAACATTTTCCTGGAGCACATTTGACCAGGGAAAGGGTTTTTCTGGCCTCTCTGTTGCTTCTTCACATAATCCCAAAAATACCACCTGTACTCTACCTCCCTTCTCCAATGTCCACGCTGCTTCTGCAACTCCTAATAACCTGGTCTCCTCCTGAGCCTGGATCTCCAGCTCTGTCTCCACCAGGCTTCTCCTGCAGCCAGCTGAGGGAGAACTGTCACAGAGAGAACACCCTGCTCCTTCGTCCCAGCCCCAGGTCTGAGGGCTGGGGCCATTGCTCTGCATCCAGAGCCCTTCCCAAATGCACTCTCCACTTCCAAGAGTCTGTTGCAATCCCATGGACTTCTTTTCTGTGGTTTCCTTTCTTCAACCTGTTCTTCTTCCTCCATTCCTCATCCCAGTTGCTGTGGGACAGTTGTCATCTTCAGGCTAGACAGAAACAAGAGAGGTCAGGGCTGCAGAAGCTGAGGCAGGCATCCCCCATGGAGGAGACAGGTGAGGACGGGGTCTGGCTGGACCCCAGCACAGCCAGTGCTGGCACACACAGCCCCATGCCCCAGGAGGTGCTGCAGGATTAACATGGGCACCAGGGATGGGCAATAGAGCTGCAGCCATGGCACACAGCTGGTTAAACTGGTGCCTTCAGCCACTGAAATGACATTCTGACATTTTCTCTCTCAGCCTGCAGCTCACTTGGGTGATAATGTCTATTCCCCGGGTGGTGAAAGCTGAAGAGACTCTCATTGCTGCAGCAATTTGTGCAACATGTGGCATCCACCCCAGGAGGGCTGGTATTTCTGTCCCATCACACCAACTCCAGCTTACAAAGCTCAACACAAAGAGCATTACTGCCCGTTTCTTGTCCTGCAGCTCAGCCACCCTGCCCATCACGCTCAAGTGTCTCCTGGAGAACAACGGCATCGACAGGCGCGTGGCGCGCTTCGTGCTGCCCGTCGGGGCCACCATCAACATGGACGGCACCGCGCTCTACGAGGCCGTCGCTGCCATCTTCATCGCCCAGGTCAACGAGTATGAGCTGGATTTGGGACAAATTATAACTATAAGGTAACAGTTTCTCTGCAGCAGCCAGATTATTTCGCTCTATTCCTATTTATGGACATTAGGACAACCTCTTGCATTTTTCCTGTTTGCAGAGATCTTGTTAATACACAGAGTGAGCAGGGGAGGGGGCAGCATGTCCCAGTCCCTGTGCTGTGTGCCAGGGAAAGCTGGGCTGGCTCTGAACCCACGAATCTGCTGCAAGTCGAGGACTTTGCCTGTAGGGAAAAGCTTAGCTGCACAGGCATGTGGCTGGAGCAGGTCAGCACTGCAGGGCTGAGCACAGAAGGATTTGTGCAGGTGTCATTTACTGCCTTTCAGGAATGAGATATTCTCATGTTATAAGCAGGGAAATAAAGCATTTAACTAAATAATAATTAAGTACATTTGCAAATGTTTAGTAATTTTAATGAGGAAGTCCCTACCCTGGAGGCAGGGGGAGCACAGAGCACCCGCTGCCAGCCCTGCTGTGTGCAGGAGAATTTGTGATAGCGCCTGGGAGCTCAAAGGTGGAGGATGTCAGACCCAATCCAGTCCTTCCACACAGCAGTAACTTACTTTGCCATGTGGACACGCTGGTTTGAATTGCACAGCCACCTTCTCTCTGCAGCATCACAGCCTCGGCAGCGAGCATCGGGGCCGCTGGCATCCCCCAGTCCGGGCTCGTCACCATGGTCATCGTGCTCACCTCCGTGGGGCTGCCCACCGAGGACATCACCCTCATCATCGCCGTTGACTGGGCTCTGTAAGTGCTCTACGGCCACTGCTTGGGCAGTGCCCTGTGTCCATTCACGGGGATGTATCTTCATCTTGATGGATGAAACCAGACTGCTCTCAAGACAGAAACTGATGCTGGATTACACTTGTCACAGACAAATAAACGCACAGCTTGTGAAATGTGCCACTCTAAAGTACTGAGATAAGAACAAAGTGAGTCGTTAGGTGAGAAACCACAGAGCAGATGCTGAGTTAGGGAAGTGACATGTGGGTGGCTGGTTTGTACTTTCCAGCCCTCCAGGGAAAAAGAGGGAACAGTGCCAAATATCAAGGCTGCTTTTCTCTTTCCCTCCCCCTTTTTTCTTTCCCCAAACAAAGGAAGGTTAACACACCACCAGTTCAACCTTTCAGCATCACAGGGTATCCAGCACTGCTGGCACCTTCTACTAGTATGAGAGGTGCCTGAGTAGACCAGAGAGGAGCGGTGGCTGGATCTACAGAATTTCTCCTTGAGAGGCATCTCAAGGAGCTCTGTGACTCGCTGAGGCACAACAGTGGCGGTCCCACTTTGGGAGGAGGCACTGGCAGCTGCCTGCACTGCTCACACAGGCAGGAGACAGATGCTGCCCCAGCACGGGGCTCACACAGGGACCGTTTCCAAAACCAACACCAGTGGGAGGGACAGTCAGGATGGGGCTGACGTGTTCCAAAGCCACCAACACCCCTACTGTGGCTGCCCCCTGATCCTGGCACTGTCTCCCGGCAGGGACCGACTTCGAACGATGACCAACGTGCTCGGTGACGCGCTGGCTGCTGGCATCATCGCGCACGTCTGCCACAAGGACTTTGCCCCAAAGCCCCCCCCGGTACGTGCAGCATGGTGGGGGGGCAGGGGGTCGTGGGACATGGCAGGACAGGCACAAGGCACCTGCTCTCTCCAGAAATTAAAACTCTGCTCTTTGCTTTTTGCAGCAAAACCCAGTGAGCAACACAGACAAGTTTCCTTCTGCAGAGGCCTCACACCTGCATCCCAATGACAATGGGATTGAAATTACTCAAGAAACCCTGTTGGATCAGACAGGAGTTCATTACAACATCTGCCAGGTGTAGATAACAGCATTCCTGCTCCCAGAAATGGCATCTTGGTGCTAAACACTGACGATTTGAGTGTCACATATGGATGCTCTGCAAGATAAAGGCCTTACTTGGCACAAAAAATGGGAAAATTCTCTTATCCTTTGAAGACTGTGGGATTCCCAGCATGGCTCTGCCACTGGGGGAGGGAGCCAGCTCCTCCCTGTGCCTGAGGACACAGCTGGGAGCTCACTGCCCTGTCTTAAATGGCTGGGTTTGAAGGATTTATAACTCCCATTTTTCCAAGCTCACATACTTTTGAAAGCTAGAGAGGTGAGCAGGTGTTAGCAGACTGGATTTGGTGGGAATGCAGTAGGAATGGGATATAACACTAAACCCTCTGGCCAGCAGCTCTTCTCTGGAGGCCAGGCTGTGCTCCAGCAGCTTTTGCTTTCCTTATTATGGAGATTTTTTTTTTTTAATCAATGCTTTTTATTTTACCACTGCATTTTCATCTAAAAGCTAAGATCAAGTGAATTTTTGTCTAGAGCTCAAAATCCAAGTTAGACATAACTGGATTTCCCAGCTGTCAGGTTACACAGGATGGCTGAGCTGTTGCACTCTCTCAGGGACAGTGGGATCCACAAGAAGGAAGGAAGGAGGGACGGAGGGAAGGAAGGAAGGAAGGAAGGAAGGAAGGAAGGAAGGAAGGAAGGAAGGAAGGAAGGAAGGAAGGAAGGAAGGAAGGAAGGAAGGAAGGAAGGAAGGAAGGAAGGAAGGAAGGAAGGAAGGAAGGAAGGAAGGAAGGAAGGAAGGAAGGAAGGAAGGAAGGAAGGAAGGAAGGAAGGAAGGAAGGAAGGAAGGAAGGAAGGAAGGAAGGAAGGAAGGAAGGAAGGAAGGAAGGAAGGAAGGAAGGAAGGAAGGAAGGAAGGAAGGAAGGAAGGAAGGAAGGAAGGAAGGAAGGAAGGAAGGAAGGGAGGAAGGAAGGAAGGGAGGAAGGGAGGAAGGAAGGGAGGAAGGAAGGAAGGAAGGAAGGACGGGAGGAAGGGAGGGAGGAAGGAAGGGAGGAAGGGAGGAAGGAAGGAAGGAAGGCCCAGCTGTCCACCTGTTTCTACAGCTGTTTTATTAATTAGATAACTAATTAACCAGGCCCAATTACAACTGCATGGATTTTCCCAGCTAAGGATGTGTCCCCAAGCTCAGATTCCAATTACAGCCTTAAAATCCAGGCTTCCCAGAGCAGCCTTCTACACAAAAGCCTTTTATACCAACCATTCATGTCAGTGAATGAATTTGTCTCTCAAAATGTCAGCTCATCCCTTTTCTCCTTCTTGATCTTTCCTGACATAGAACTGGGAATCGTAACACAGCTCAGACCCCCACTCATCAATGAACTGTTCTCCAGCTGTACCTAAAGAAAATATTTTCTGTGCAGAATTCTTTCCAGCTGAAGTCAGAGCTTGTAAAAATTTTTCTAATTTAGAAGAAATATTCATTCCAGTTTTGCCAAATGAAAAGCAGAAACTATTAAATATTATAAACCAGCTTTTGCACAAAAATTGTCTTCTTTTAACTTATGAAAGCCTTCACACAATTAGAATCCTGGGCAACAGAAGCTTGAGACACTGCTGCTAACTTTGGCCTTTTTCACCCTTTCTCCTTGGTGAGGTTAATTAATACCTTCTTAAGCATTACAGCCCAACTGCTCTTCAAGAAGCAGTCAAATCATTCGCAAACCCAAAATAATCACATTTCAAATCAATCTCTGCAGCATCCCCAGACATCCCTCCCTCCTTCCCATATCATTTATGATCACATTGATCCATCCCACGCTGGTTCAGCATCACTGGCTCTGAAGGGCTTTGTGGTTGTTCCTCTATAGCAGGAGTGAGCTCAGCCACCCAAACCCCCCTGGGAGATGCTGGTGAACACTGGAGGGGCTCCAGGCAGCCCCAGCTCTGGACAGGACCTGAGTATCCCATCCATCTGCAAGATACCCACATCCCAGACACAGCTGGACAGACACCAGTGCACCTGCAACACAGTAATTTAAACAAGCAAGATTTATGAGACTTGTCTGGTCAGTCACTGGTACATGGGAGTGCTCACATCCCTCACTGGTGAGTCCAGGCCAACCAGCACAGACATCAGCACAGGCAGCAGAGACAGTCTTTTCACATCCATGCTCTCCTCATTAATGAACTCTGGATATTACAGCACACAATTAACCCTACAACAAAAGGCAGGATGCAGCATCCACAGCGAATGTCCTTGAGTGAGTGCTGGGGCTGCAGGATGAGCAGCCTGCTCAGGCTCAGCCTGCTGCATACCAGACCACTTTATCCCCTGGCCCAGAAACCACAAGTCACACTAAAAAACTTAAACAGCACATCCTCAAGCTCACTGCAACAAAGAAAAAATTACTACTGAAAAAAACTGAGTATTCTATCTCAGTAATAAATCTAGAGCTGGTGAAGCCAATCCCACCCTGTACAACTCACCTCAGGAGCTTCAAGTCCTGTGTTTTATCAATCTCAGAATGATTGGATTGGAAAGGAACTTAAAACTCATCTCCCATGGGCAGGGACACCTTCCACGAGACCAGGCTGTCCAAGCCCTGTTCAACCTGTTGCTAATATCTCTTACTATCTGTAATGTGAGATTCACATTAGCAGAGATGTTTTGAATTTGGAAATCAGCAGCAAGTATTTTGATGCTAATAAGGTTAAGTGTCATCCTGGAGTCCACATAGCCTTGTCCTTGTGAAAAATACAGCAAGGGAGACCTTTGAATGTAGCAGCCTCAAAACTGGGCTGTCATCACTGTGCTCCTCTAACAGAATAAAACACGGGGCAAAAATAATTCAGGTGCTTCTGACAATCTCTTTGTGGTCTGGTATAAAGGGAAGGCATCATTATTGATGGGGAAAACCGAAAAGCAGCAAGGACAATCCATCTTCAGCACTGCACACAGGCACAGGAGAGGCACCTAAACACACTTAACAGGGTGGAAATTGCAGAAAAGTAAACAAAGCAGATTTATGGGATGGCCCAGCTGGTGAGGGGCCCACTGTCCCGGACTATGCCTTTGGGATGGCACCATCCCAACCCCTGCCATGTTTTCAATAATCTGCTGCTGGGGAAACACTGACACGAGTAATTACAGCAGCCTCCCTATGCCAGCCCTGAGAGCTGGTGGCACCCACAGAACCCCAGAATGCTAGCAGGGCTTTTGTAGAAAGCAACACAAACTCATTGGGGGCGAGGAACAAGAGATTTCTAAAGATGAGAAAGTAACAGAGTCCAGACAAAGTCACTGGGCACCACCTGAACGAGTTTTATTCTCTACCAACTGCATTCAGGAGACCAGGATGGGAGGGAGGTGAAGTTCCACGTGTCCCACATCAGGAAATCTGAGGTGTCTTGCTTGACAAACCTGTTTATATAGCCTCAAAAAAGGCATAAACAAGGGAGGTGGGGAACTGCCCAGGCTCCCAGGGAATGGTCCCGGCCCCGAGGCTGCCAGAGCTGCAGGAGCGTTTGGACAAAGTATTATAAACTATTTTCCCCGGCACCTGTAAGAAGAAGAGGTGCCTCTCTCTGAAAATCTGTTATTTCCAAGCAATTGGAGACGTACAGGCAATGCAAGGCACACACCCTACAGCACAGAAATCTGGTGTACAGGAAGCACACAAGCTCAAACCTGTGTTTCTTCCTTGGAAATCCTTGTTTTCCTTATGAACAAAAATCTCAGCTGCTATGGTAATATAAATGATCCCTGAGTTATGGTTGCTGTGTGTAATATAATAAAGTTGGAGAGCACCTGGGTGGAGGAATTTGGGTGTTATACAAGTGTTATTTTACTGAAAAAAAATTTGAAGGAAAAAGACATTGAAGGAAGGCTACTTTGGTGAACTAAAATCCATGTGGGAGATATTTATGGGGTCTGTGGTTATTAAGCAAAAGGAAAAGTTGAAGCAGTCCTTGGCTCTGGGACACCTTCTAGACATGGGCAGAAAACCCACCTGTTGGCCACATGAGCCTTGAGTGGGGAATGACATTTCTGCAGTGGTATTTGGGAATTTGAGGATGTGACTGGCCATAAACATTAAACTTAAGGGAATTTTCATTGAACGGAATGACTTGAGTGTATAATTTATTCAAAAGACATTGGCTTGTTCCTGCAAGCCCATGGATAAGTTGCTTCAATCCTACAGATTGGTTCTTTTCTCTGCATCGGCTGTCTTCCTCAGAACAAATTATTTTTACATATCTGAATTTATAAAATGATGAGTTTTGACCAGAGACTTTTGCTTTTATATTATTTTCACACCTTTTTATGATGTATAAATGGAGTTGGAAGGGCACTGTCAGCGCTGCCATCGTTCCTTTGGATGACAATGCACCTCGGTTTGTGTTTTACTAAAACTGAAAAAAATAACAAAATAGCTCAATATTGTAGCATGTGGTGAAATACAATTGAAACAACAGATGTGAAAACCACCCCAGAGGTCTCTTTTAATTTAAAATAATACCCACTTCAAAATTAGTCTGCAAGTTTCCTAGAATAATTTTGAAAAGTCTCTTCCACAAATTTTTTGAATGCAATTATTCAAATCTATTAAAACCCCACGTTTCTCAGTAAAACCAGATTTCCAAAGTAGCTGTGAACAACAGATATGGCTCAAGTAAGTTTTTTATGAGAATCACAGCATGTAACCTCCACTAAATGCTCCTCTAAGGAGTGAGTGCCTCTGTGGGGATGTGTTTTCTGCCTCTCCTTTTCCAATTCACTGTAGTAGTTTCCTTGAGAACTCTTATTTTTGCCTGACGTGATAATAAAACTTTCTAGAAGATCTGAAAGAATGATTTCAGTCCCTCCTGCAGGCAGGTGCAGCTCAGTCCATCACCCAGGGCTCCACACACCACAGCCCAGGTCAGAGCAGAGCACACAGCAAGGCACAGCAGTGCCTGTGCTCGTGGCACCAATTGCAAATGTACAAGAGTTAAGAGTTAAGAGCTAGTCCAGATCTAGCTCAGAATTGCCATTCAGTGTTCACATCCAGAGAATCTCATCCCACCCCCTGCCATGGCAGGGACACCACTGTCCCAGGCTGCTCCAAGCCCTGTCCAGCCTGGCCTTGGGCACTTCCAGGGATCCAGGGGCAGCCACAGCTGCTCTGGGCACCCTGTGCTAGGGCCTGCCCATCTCACAGCCAAGAATTTCTTCCTAATTATCCCTCTGGCAGTGGGAAGCCGTTCTCCCTTGTCCGGGCACTCCAGGCCTTGTCCCAAGTCCGTCTCTTAGTCTCTTGCAGGTTCCCTGTAAGCTGCATCTGCACCTTTGCTGGGCCCTCAGAGCTGGTGCTCAGACGCCCCTCAGTGCCCCCCAGATGCCCCTCAGTGCCCCCCAGGTGCCATGAGCCCCCAGCCATGCACAGCACAGGGTGCAGAGGTGCCCCATGGACTCTTTGCCTTGGGCCTCCACCAGCCTTGGCAAATCTGCAGCGTGTTCCACCTCACCGTGCTGGACATCCTCCAGATGCAAACTTCCAGGATTCAGTGTGGGGAGGAAACTGTAACATCCCTCTGGAAGATGCTCCAAAATCCATGTCAGCAGTAGCCAGACTTTTGCAGGTGCAGAGGGCCTGGCACTCAGTGTGCAATGTGCACTTACCTTTGTTTCTGGAAGCTTCGTGTCTCGTTTAAACTACACAGAAGAAGTGCCCTGTAGCCAACAGTGAGAGCCAGGCACCTTTCTGAGGAGTACATCTCAGGCTTTAGGAGTAGATGTTTTCACAAGGCTCTAACTGATGGGTTTGGACTGGGTGCTAAGACTTTATTAGTTTGAGTCAGTAGGTGAATCCCACACTAAATTACATGTCTGAGCAAGAGACCTATTTTTAGAATCCTGAGCCTTCAAACTCTAAAAGGCCATATTTTAGTTTTCACTCTGAGCCATGGACTTAGACAGGAAAGAACAGTAAGGCTGAAACATTACACCCAACCCAAAACTTGCTGCTCCACTTACCCGCCCATTTCACCACAGAGATCTTCTACACACTGTTCCTCCTTGAAACACAACAAAATGGGTATTTGGCCATTCTCCTCCTTCTTTCCCTTTCAATATTCCTGGAGTCTTCAACCATCTGTAAAGCAGGATTTTAAACGAGATTCTGGTGCTAATAAAACACTGAGAAGAGCAGCATCATGACCCCAACCTCAGAACACTGAGATGTCTCTAGACATCTCACTCTATTTCTCTGTCTTGCTTTCTCTACCCCAAGCAGTTACTTACTTTGACAGGCTGCAATCACTAGAGACAGACAAAGCACATGTTCTTTGCACTTACAGCCTGGCAGACATCTGCTGCTGGTGTCATAGCTCAAGCCAGGCTAACTTCCACACAATTCTCCTTGTAATGCCAACAAAATGTGAATCCTGACCTTTAACTATAGGTTTTTACTGCTCGTGTATCAAGTGATTCTTCCTCACAGGATGCAGCATCCACCCAGTTGCTATTCAGAGGTTATGAGCTGCTCTTCCATGCTTCCCTCTAACCTGAGCACCAATCTGCATTTCCTAGACATGAAGCCTTAAGTAGGAAATAAAACATTCATACGTATGCTCCCAATTACCCACTTGCTCACAATGAGTTACCAAAGCAGAACTCTGCTCTAATTCACCCTCTTACCTTTCCAACCAGGTGCAAACCAAACACACAGAGAAGTGCTCAGGCTCTGGGTTCACCTATGGGCCTGAATTATTTCACCTTTTGAACTCACAGTCACAAAACCTGCCTCTCCCCTCATGATCCAGCAAAGGCAGGACCCAAGGTTAATCTCAGCAGTGACACAGCCAAGCAGCAGAGAACAGAAACAACCTGCTGAGTCCCAGTGCTCAGGTGAACACCACGCATCCCCCAGCAGCTCTACTGGGGCATTAAACTCCCCAAAATTGGCAGATAAAGGACAACCAGAGACACAAGAACCCTGCAAATGGGTAGATACTAACAATGAGGACTCCCCTTCTGTACCAACAGAGCTGTGGCAGTGAGCCCAGGGCAGAGACAATCCCCTCCTGTGTGCACACCTCATGGGGCCACCCAGCAGCCACACACAGCAGGGAAGCTCTGCCCTCCTCACCAAACCACCCTCAGCTGGATTTCACCTGCAACCATCAGAACACACTGCTTTAACCCAGGATTACAAAAATTGCTCTGAGGAGGATTTAATTCAGTGACAAGCCCCACAAGTCCTTAGCTGGCTCTGGACAGCAAACAGCCACATCCATCATCACCACTGAGCCAGCACTCTGGCTCATGCTGAGAAACATGTTGAGCTGGTCAAAGTTGTCAACAGCAGGCTTCTGGTGTGCACAATTCATTCTCATCACTGCATCATTACCCTACACAACACACTCACTTCCCTCATCTCCCACCCCCCTGAGGAAAACCACCAAACTGATCAGCTGGTTCCCCGTCAGAATAAGCAAGGCAGGATGGCTCAGTTCAGCACAAACATACATCACAAGGTTTGGGCCTCCCCATCTATTTCCTCATAAGCAAAAAGAGCTCAACACCAATGCCAGATACTGCACCTGGGAATGGGATTTCCAAAAAGCTTCTCTACTCCAGCTTCTTTGGGAGAAAGAATTCACTCTCTGCCCATTCTGAGCCTCCTATGTCACCTGTGTGACCAACCCCTGAATAACAGATGCATCGAGATTTTGAACTTCTCATCAACAGCCTTCCACTGCATTTTCATAAACAAACAAGTAACAATATTGCCAGTAGACTGACAAATCCTGTCCTGGAAGAATTTCCCCACTCCCAGCATCCTGCATCTCCCAGCCAAAGGATACAGACTGGTAGCACACACAGATGTAAATGAACTACCCAGCAAGAAACTCTTTTGGAGAGCTTCAGTCCTGCGTCACAAGTGGCTACAAAGCACATGACTGAGCATACAGGACTCACGTGGACTCTCCCACTCCCACAGGCCCTGAACAATTTGCACCCAAAGCTCCCTCTCACAGCTGTGTCCCACATCCCCATTACCCCTGCTGCAGATCCTGGCTCCTGACCCAGTCTGTGCACTCCCCTGCATCATGCCCAACCCACACTCCAGGCCAGAGCATTTGCACTGCTTCTGCCTCTCCAAAACCTCTCCTCATGCAGGAGAGTGGGATGGGGAAGTCAGGGAACAGCTACAGCATCTCTCCACAATTTCCAACAGAGGATGCCATAGCACATATGTGATACTTAAACATAGGTAAATGCTGAAAATGCATCCCAAAGATCTGGGAAATTAGTAATATCCCACCAGCTGAAAACCTCCTGCTAACCCTTCCATACTGCCTTCCTTCTTTAAAGCAACTCCCACCCTAAATTTCCTGTATTTGTAACTACCAAAGTTTATTTAGTGGTATCCAACACCATCTCAAATACTTTATAAAAGTCCATGTAAATGGGAGTTACTGAATTTTAAGAATCTATTTACTTACTATTCTCAAAGTAACTTACCAAATTAATTCTTCTGCGACAAAATGTATTTGAACATTTTCATTTAGCTCTGTATCTTTAAATTCTGTTATTCAGAATTTGAAGCATATGGCTTTAGAGTAGTTTTTTCACCATGCCTTGGTGGGATGGAGCCTCCTCAGTTCAGAGCCCCTTGGAAGAAGCTGCTACAGCCTTCATTCCCTGCTTCAGCACTTTGTAGGGCTAAGTGTCCTGTCTATGGAAACACATGGTGCAGCACAGGGATCAGTTTAACAGGGCTGTACCAGCCCATGCCATACACCCCATACACACTTGTCTGTGATGTGCAATTTTCCACACAAGACACCAGTTAATGTCCTTCCTACCAGAACTCTTCTGTTCAAGATTTCTCTCCTGGTTTTAGCATGGCCATTACCTTGCAGGTCCTTGCACCTCCATTGCCCAACCTTCTGCAACTAACACGCCACATTCTCCCTTTGGCTGAACATGGAGCTGCTTCTTTCCCCATTTCACAGCTTACAAACAGCTCATTTCCTTCCTGACCTTCGAAAAGTACCTTTGGTTTCTCACCAGTCCTCCACTACTCCATTTACTGATTTTAATACCTTGGGTTGGATTTTTATCTGTGCAGGGTTTTTGACTGTTGCCAGGTACATGAACTGATGATTGTACCAGAAGTTTTGACTAAGAAATTACTCCAAGGACTGTCCTTCACATCCACAGTCCACACTCTAGTCTAGCTGGCTTTGCAGAATAATTCATTCCTACAGTTTTCTTGAGCCCCCCAGCTGACCTCAAGCACAATCCAGTGCACTTTTTGAAAAAAGTGCCATATTACCCAGCCTGATCCCAACCCTTTAACTGCCCCTTTAGCATGGCTGGGGAATGGGAACTACAGGGGAACCAGATTTGATCAGGTTTAAAGGAACCACTGAAAAGACTTATCTTTCTTTTAATTAAAGAAATGCCTACTAATAGTTTTATCAGCACAAGTAAGATGATGGTGGGGGGTTTGTGTAAGATGCTGGACACTGGAGCAACACCAGCACATAAAATATATCCAGAGCTCACCTTTGAAGCCTGATTTACATCTTCAAACACCTTTGATTATGATGATGATCATTATGAGGTTTTTTTAGGATCTCAATATCTAAAATCTTCTAATACAAAAACATGTATGAAGCTGTACCATGTAACATTATTTTAATAACCTACTAAGCTTTCACACAGGATGAAAATGCACTCATTGCAAGGAATTCCTCCTCCATCTCCAATAAGGAACAGCAGATTGACAGTGCCCAGCTGACATCTCAGTCAGCAGCACTGCCCCACACCACTGTGCCTCCCAGCTGTAGCACATAAACTACAAAATGCCAAAGTATTTCTGAGCACAATCACTTCATCCTTGTCCATGTTAGGGCATCACACCTCTTTCCCTCCTTTTGTTTGTGCAGCAAATGAAGCAAACCTTCTTTTAGGACTAGATGCTGTTCACCATCCTCACTGAGCAAAGGGCTGACACAGTTCCTATCCAACAATTCCCTACCCTGTGCTGACCCCAATACCCCCAACACGGATCCCTCCTGTCACATTTCACAAATTACAGCAGGCTGCCTTAATCTCACCAATTCAACAAGTCTGTCCTTTTCTTCTTTTATTCCTTATTGGATACAACCAGCTCTCATTATTCCCTCACCCAAACCCAGAATGGATAACGACAAAGAAGCTGGACATCCAATTCCACAGAGTGGACATTAGAGAAGTTCTTCTGTAATATCAAGATTTGTCATATGAACGTGGAAAGACCAAAATCAGGGCAAATATTCCATTGCAAACATTCATTCTTCAAGGTCCCCAGCAGTCCAACAGAATGTGCCCAGGTGAGCACAGAGCACCAAGACTGGAACAGAAGCACAAAGCTTCTCAACCAGTTTCCATCTGACAGCTCTTGTTCTGCCTTTGAGCATCACTTGTGTAAGTAACGTAAGATGCAAATCAGGGCAGCCAGAATGCTTCCAGAAACTATTTCAGTGTTGGAGGCACCACTACCCTGGAATAAAACACCTGGTGCAAGTCTTTATGAGCTACCTGAGTAACTGAACAAGGCACAGACATCACAGTGAGTCAAACCTGAACTGTGTGCTGTTCAGAAAAGCAACTCTGAACACGCTGGAACAAAGCTTTGGTATGTTTTATCTAAAAAAGCATGAGCAGCCCTGATGTCCCTCCAGGAATCCAGTGATGGGGCAGGGGGGCCTGGCCATGCAGCCCAGGCTGTCGTGCTGTGTGCCGTGGCAGGCGCAGTTCAGCCACTGCCATCTCTCTAGAACCACAGTCCTTCTTGCAGCTGAACTGTCTTCCTTCCTCCATTCCTGCAGTAAGAAAAGATTAAAACATTAAGACCCATGGAATATAGTAAAAACAGAAAGGGGGAAAATGCAGAATAAAGGTGGCTTAAAACAAAATCACTGACTTCTGAAGTCACTGACTCACTGGAGTGACAGCACTGTATCTCACAGGGAAAAGGGAATGGGAGGTACTCCATGAGCAGCAGTGATTGGCACAGTACAGGACCACTGCTGAAAAACATTGAGACACAATATATAGATATGGCAGTTTTCCAGAGTTAGAAAAATGTGGATGTTAAGTTCTTTCTAAGATGGGCATTAATTTTCTTAAACTTCCACAGCTCGCTTCTCACATCACTGTAGAGTTGTGACCAATGCCTTAGAAAGCTTCACATAATCTTGTTTTTTTAAGGACATACATCTCTGCACTGTGCAGGATATGGGACAGTGCAGATGTGCCATTCCACATGTGCTATATATAGCACCTATACAGCAGAGACAGTAACACACAACTGAAAAGTATGTGTACCTGCTCTAAATGTATAAATACAGCCTACACGTTTTATTACACACAGGTATTACACGTGTGTGTACACACACACACAAAGGCATGTGCACTCTGTGTCTCTTGAAAGATGAAAAGCAGAAGGAACAAGCTCGGACAGAAAGGTAAAGCAGGACACATGGTCACAAAAGTGTTTAATCACAAATTCTGCAAGTCTGGTTAAACCAAGACCAAATCCCTGTGTGTCAGGACTGAGAAGCACAAGCTACTTACCACAGCTGTTCATGGGCTGCAAGACAGCCTTGGGGTCCTGCCAGTGCCTCCTCCTCCCATGACAGCAGAGCTGGAGCCCATGGCAGGAAGCAGCTCAGCACTGCTTACACTGCCCCAACTCTGCTCCCAAGCCAAACCACTCCTGCTCTGCTCTCCTCTATGAGCCTTCTCTTGGGGCAGAATCTGTTCCAACACATTCAAACAGTAGGTTTGACAGGTTTGTTAAAGTAGATTAAACACCTCCTCTGATCTCTACTCTGAGAACACAGGAAGTCACAAACTTATTTTTATTAAATTCTGTTCTTTGTAAGCTCTAGTTTGAGGACATGCTCCTTTGTAATTGTAAGCATGGAGCTCTGGCCCTGCAGGGAGAAGTCAATTAATTCTGAAAAGGTCAACCTTCAGAATGTTATAAACCACACTTAAAATTCAAATAAAGAAAATCTGTATTTTAACTGTGCCAAATTTGGGTTAAATTAATTTTGATGCAATGAAACATTATTTGTTAATGAGATGTTAGTACAAGTTATGTTCTGACAAACTAGATTCAGAGTCCCATTTTGCTCATCACTGTTTCTATACATAAACATAAAAAAAAGACAAAAAAGAAAGTGTCACAGTGCAAAAAGCAAAGCATTGTGATTTATTCACCTTCCTTCAGCTGCACAGATAACACACATGTGTAAAACCACTCCCAAATGTTCCACTTCCTCTTCCTGCTGTCAGTAGAGGATGAAGCAGAGGACAGTTTAGGGAAAAGAAAGGCAGTTTCAAAAATCAGGATTCTAAAGAAGAGGAGGTATTTAGGGCCCCTCTGACATGGAGCTGGGGAAGCACAAGGGGAATGAAGGGAGAGGGGATGGCAGCCAGGCTTTCCTTAAATAGCTGTTCACTGCCACTGCTGGGACAGAATCCAGAGCAAGTCAGCATGACCCAGGACGCTTCTTACAGTCATATTCTTCCAGAATTTTTTAAAGATAGGAAATACGGAAAAAAGGGTTCAGACATCTTTCTCTGACATATCAGTTTAACACCTTTTTTCTCCCCGCCTCCCTCTTTCACTGTTCTGGAAATGAAGGGGGTGAAATTTGGAAGCAGAAAACCACAAGAGCAGAGCAAGGAGGGGGAACAGTCAAAAGCCAGGGGGTCTATCAGGAATTCTGCAAGAACCAGAATCCCTGTCTGGGTGTTAATGGGTCTACACAAAGTTTTTTGGTTTGCTTTTAGAAAAAGAGTAATTTCTGAGGGGCTAGAACTTCACATGGCTATGTCTGTGATTAAGCTTTTTGGAATTTAATATATTTTTCCCTCACAATTTTTCATAGAAGAAAAACATGGAAAACACCATAGTGGTAAAAATGAACATGAGCAAAGTGAACCACATGGGATGAACTCTGGTGGGAGCAAAAATGGAGAAGGTGTTCCAGCTCCATGCAGAGGAAAACCCAGGAAAGGTCTAAATCCCGATGAAGCATTCCTGAATACACCAGATGCTGCACATTCAACAATCCACTGATATAATGGTAGGAACAGAAATTCTCACTTCTGCTCTTTACCAATTTAGCTCAACAAATAATTCCATATGGTGAACAGTGCTGAACTGAGAAATTCCCATCACAGGAAAAATAACTGCAAATCTAAAAACTCCCGAGTTGGAAGAGATCCTGAGCTGAGGCAGCATTGCCACACGTTCCGTGATATCATACATAAAATACTATCTAAATCTGTTACTTTACATCACTTTTCTCAGTAGGTCTTTAAGAGAAAAATCAGAGGCAATGTCTCAAAGGTACAACAATTAGCTCAGCTCTCAGAGGGATTATTTTTGTGACTAAAGGACAGGAGGCACCTGCTGAAACACAGCAGGACAGATTTCAGCTTACCAAAACTAAAAGTTTGTTTTGGAGAAGAAAGGACTAAGACTGGAACACAGTCTGTGCAGAGCTAGCAGGGTTATATGTGTTCCTTCAACCAAAAGGACGTGGTCTCAGAAGCATTTCTGGAAAACACTTCTTAGAGAACCTCCTCCAGGGTTTTACCTGGGGTGTCTGTCCTTGTCCTAGATTGCAAGGCAAGATGTGCTCAATTGCCATCTGTTAGAGGTGTGGCCGTTGTCTTCTCCTCCTAAATGGGCACTTTTCATTATCTCTTCCCCAAACCAATCCTCCCCCCCCCAAAGAGACATCTGCTGTTAATGGGCTATTGAATGTCACTGTGTGACTGATAAAAGCTGCAGCATCCCACTGGGAGATGCTCTGCCCCGAGGGAGGAGCCAAGCATTCCTACCTGGATGTAATCTGGAGTTTCTGGAACACCAGCACGGCTTTTCCTGCACTGGATTTCCCAGAGGAACAGCTGCCTCTTCCACTGCAAGGAGACTACACCCTTTTCTACAGGATCACTGCTCCAACAGAACCACCCTGACACTCCAGGAGCACTGCAGCCACAATTCCCAACTGGACTGCAGCCAACACCCTGTCCAACAGGGTGCCAGGCTGTATCCTGACTCTGTCAGTGTTGTTTTGGTTCACTGCATTGCTTATTTTATCTTTTTAGCTTCTTCCCTAATAAAGAACTGTTATTCCTGCTCCCATATTTGTGCCTGAGAGCCCCCCTTAATTTCAAATTTATTTGGAGGAAGGGGGTCTACACTTTTTTATTCCGTTTCAGGGGAGGCTCCTGCCTTCCTTAGCAGACACCTGTCTTTGTAAACCAAGACAGTCCTGCCCCAGCCTCACCCAAGGAACCAGGGAGCCTGACCTACACTGATGGTCCCTCCTCATGGAATCACAGTTGTTAGGTTGGAAAAACCCTCTAAGGCAATCAAACCCAACCATCAAGCTGGCAGCACCACCATGTTCACCACCAGCCCAGGACCCCCCATGCCACAGCCACGTGTTTTTGGAACACTTCCAGGGATGGTGATTCTCCCCTTCCCTGGGCAGCCTGTGCCAGGCCTTGACAACCCTGGCACAATCTGCAGAAAATCTTCATCCAATCTAAAGCTACAATTGGCCAACTTGAGGTGTTTCCCCAGGAGCTCCCTGAAGAAGTTTTGCTGTATATTTCTGAGTAACTGGGCTTTGGTTTAATCAGGAAGAAAAACGTAAGATAAAGACAACAATTTTTTTCCTGAAAAATTAAAAGGAAACTAAGCCCCTAAGCCCCTTCTTTTAATTCCATCTTTCTAACAAGGCCACAAGTTACAAAATCTTTAGTGGAGGAACCTTGATTGGCCTATTCCTGAACACAGTTCAGATTCTTCTGAAAACATGTCAAATTCCAAACTGCACAATAATAATCCAATTCCTGCAGGGAAAAAAAGACAAAATATAAGCAATTTAGTAAAAGCCTATTTCTATTTTGAAGTACATCACCCTTCAACAGGGCTCAAGTCAAAGCATCCCAAGTATGTTCCAAACAAGTGCTCAACAAAACCAGCCATGAACATGTGGCAAAAGTACAAAAACTCCTTTGCACTATTAACATAGATAACGACATTTAAGTCTTAACACCAGTGTAAAATATCTATGAGTTGTTTCATTTAATTTTGAAAATCCATATAGAAAACAATGTTCATAACTCCATCCACAGGATTCTACAAAACTGCTGCTTCATCAACAAATCTTTGAACTGTTTCAATATGAAAACTCCATTTTTTCAAACTGCTCAAAAATCATTGCAGAGAATTTCCAAGCACTTGAATTGAAGCACAACCAAAGTATGAACTTGGTACATTTTTGCAGTTATTTCTAAAATAAGTTGATTTACATAAATCATCTCAAAATAACACAATGGGATTCAACTTCATTTTAGACATTTGGAAAGCAGTGTCATACTTTATTTAAAGTAAACCCATGTAAAAACAAAGTTTAAATGAAAATGGTACCTGAAAAATAAATTATTTGATATAAAACAAATCAATAACTTAAAAACACGCTAAATATACAAAATGTGTAACCATATACTGTACAGTATGGAAAGCAATTGATAAAACCTTCTGTCCCACAAACAGATTAATTTATAAACAAAAGATTACATAAGTTAAAGGAAAGGAAATCAATAAAAAGACTAGAAGTACAGTATTATTCAAATTACTCATCAAATAAAGGTTTATCTCAACTTATGTTTCAAATGTCTCAAGCCATTTTCTTCTCAATGACCAAGTGAAAAAGTTCAGCCAAGCACTAAAACCTTACTCAAAAATGTTTAGAAATAAGGAACAGTAGGAGAATATTGAGATTCTAGAATGTGAACACAGAGCAATTTTCCAAGGTTTCAAGCAGCAGTTCTACCATTACTGTTTTCCCATCATTAGCAACAAAAGAGAATTTCAGTGCTAAAAATTCCACTCAACAGAAAAATATTTCTAAACCTTTGTTGCTGTTTGATCGAGTGTGATCTAGAAGGAATCTCCAGAGCTGAATGTCAAAGCCACCCATGGGGTGGAGAGTTATGCTTTCGAGATCATAAAGATTTGGACTGGCTTTAAATCATGCAGGATGAGAAAGTAACTCTTTGAGTTTGGCTTTGTTTGACTACATGAGACTACTACAAACAGCAAGCACTGAAATGACGCCGTACCTGATCAACCTACGAGCGGATGCTCAGAAATTACCGGTGATTTTCAATCCACTGGTTGTCATGGAGGCACCGCCTCTTCCAAGCGAGAGGGAGGGAATTGAGACCCTTTTCATGAACTCCACATTTTTCATTTTTTATATTAGTAAGGAGAAGCCCAGTAATAATAAATATAAATAATCAGAGAAAATAACCACTGGCATCTTGAGCTCTGGATTTATCCATTCTACTGTGCTGAGCAGCCAACCTTCAGAAGTGCAGAGCTACATCAGAGGAACTTGCCAAAGGCACAGAAAGACTCTCCTGCTTCCAAATAGAGATTAAAGTACCTCAGGTGACAAATTCAGCTCTTGGAAAATAAAAACAAAGCGAAAAGAGGACTAAAGCTCCACTCAGGGAGCTCAAGGTGTTGGTGTTTCCTTATGCTAAAGGTGTATTTGGTCCCTTCTCTCTAAAGCTATTTGTAGATGCCTAAATGTAGATATGTAACAATAAGGTGCTTCATCGACAGTTATAAAGGACACATTTTTTCATAATGGAAATAAAAAATATGGTGACCTTCTGCCAGAGCCTCCAGTCAAACTTATGCTTATGTGATTCAACCAGGCTACCAGTAACTCACAAGAGCTGTGTTAAAAACCTCCCACAGACGCCAACCTTCTGCAGGCAGAGCTATCAGAGGAGCTACTTTGAATAAACCGTTTATCATATGACCTGTGTATTGTGCTAGATTCGTAAACATGGGGACATTCTCCAAGTTTGTTTTTTTTAAGTACATATGTAATGATAAACTATCCAAAAAGGACCTTGAGTTTTTGCCATTTAAAATGCACTGAAAAAAAAATTTCCTGAAATATTTTAAGAATTTCTACTTTATTGACCTTACCCAGAACATTAAACCAACAGAGAATTGTAACAAACGTTGAAGGACCTTAAGGACTATTCACTTTCCAAACTCATCTTAAAATAATGGATCACCTTTGCAGTTAGTTCATCGTTTTGGTTTTGACTGCTGGATATTCTTTCTATAAATGATACCAAGTTTTTTTTTTTTAACTTTTTAAAAACTTAAAAAGATATTTAACTGCTTTGTATAAATAAAAGTACTGCAACATTCAATCCCCCTATAAAAATAGGTGTCCTTTCCATGCAAACACCCTTTGATCATCTGGACAAGAGCAAGTGACCACACTCTGACCAACCAGCGTTCACTGTGGTGACAACTTATCCTACTCCAGTGACTCGTCTCTGCATTTTCCATGGTTTTCATACTCACATGATACAGATGTGCAAAAAACAAATCCAAGCAAATGGAAGGAAAAGCTGTGTGGCCACACACACCACTGTGGTGATGTGACTTCTCCCTTCACCCTGGGAGCTGGATCCTCAAGCCCTTCCCAGTCCCAGAGCAGTAACAGATGCAGGGACTGCAGAGGAAGGCTCAGGAGGCAACACTAACTGTGCTGGCCAGTCTCTGACAGGAGAGGAGCAGCTCAAGTCAATCAAATTTTACAATAATGCAGCTTGAAGAATAAAATTAAACAAATCCAACACTTCACTGCACAGACACCATCTAACAGGGAATCACTGAGAACTGAACACACTGAGCTGCTTTGATTCTGCTCACATCTGGATTTCTGGTGTTGCCATCCCCTCACCTGAAGGATCTGCATGTCCCTCTGCCAGCTCACACCAAACACACACAGAGATTCCTCTTCCATATTTATGTGGTATTTGCCTATGTGCTAATGGTTAACAGGAGGTTTATAGGTAATGAGGCTCATGGCCAGCGTTCTGCATGGGGCAAATTCCATTCATGTGGACATCTGGGAAGCAAATGCAGTAATGCCCCTCAGCATCTATACATGAGACCCTGGGACAGCAGCATGGACACCTGTGTTTTCAGCAGGAATTACACCTGGTCCTTCAGAAGCTACACCAGGGGCTGTCCCAAGAGACTCAACCTATTCTAAAGGACCCCAAAACACTCTAATCTCAGCTGTTCCTGTAGCACGTCTCACAGTACAGACCAAACAATTCAGGTCTCCAAAATCTGATTATCACATCCTAGTCCTTTCCAGAACTCTCTACCTCAATGAGACCACTTCATCTCATGTGCAATGTGAGACCTCTGTTTTGAGACAGCCTTTGGTTCCACAAAGATCATGTAAGCATTTACTGACAGAAGACTCACCTGACAGAAACACCTGGCTTCCATCAAATGGATGGATGAAAAAGCAGAGCACTGTTTGAGAATAAAGAGGCCAAAACCTCTCTTGAAACAGTCTGTTCAAGTGAGAGCTTCAAAGTAGTGTGAGAAGAAAACCAGTTGCTCCTACCTTTTGGGCAGAAAAACTCCTGGCAGATGTCTTATTAGAATTTAGTTTCCACCCCTAGAAGCTTCCTTTTGGTCTTTACTAGTAGAATGCACAAGCCTTTTGGTTTAGGACCAAAAGAATCAAGAATACATACACAATTTTTTCTGGACTTCAGGTATTTTTGCCAAGTATTTATTGACTGTTAGAATAGCACAGATCACACGCTACTTCTGGTATCAGCTCTGGATATTAGCAGGAGTTTTTCCTCTTTTCCTGACTCGAGCAGCAGTACTTTGCACATACCAGTTGCCTGAAAATTATTACCAGAGCAACTATCAAAGAAAGCTGGAATCAGACCTTTCCTAAAAGAGATTGTTGTAGTAGTGGTACAAAACCATATCCTGCATTTCCTTCTTACTTAGCAAAGAATGAGAGATGGGAAAAGAGGGAAGCAGTGGAAAAAGAAAGGAACAGTGATGCCAGAAAGCATCCAAGAAAAGGGGGTTTTTCAGAAGTGGCAGCACAGCAATGTGCTGCTGCCATGGCCAGTGTGCTTGGAACCAGTACTGATACAGAGTCGTGTTTAGGGGTCACTCACTAGAAGTCTGAACCCCTGCTAAGTATTGTGATAAACAGCAACTCCCATTTTAGTTTAGCAGCAAATTTATCTTAAATGGAATAAAGCAAGAGAGAATGACAGGAACTGAATGACTACAGCCCACTCCTGTGGAAGTGGAACAGGACAGTGCAGGGTTCAACAATGATGGGACACATAAGAGAACTTCTCTGTACTACACAGCTTTAATTTGGGAGAGCCCCCAGAAGGCTTCCCAAGCTCTCCTTGTACGCAGAAAGGAAATAATAATTGATGTGATAAATGGATGGTGATGAACTGGTGGAAGGAAACCTCTGACAGCCAAGAGCAGCTTTGAGGGGTGGGAGTGGGCTGGCTGCTGTGCCACTGTTCCACTGAGCATCTCAAGAGATGGGGAGGGAATAGACTGGCAGGAGAGGCAAGGTTGGATGTTTTAACAGGGAAAATCCCACCTGCATTCACTGCACACAAGGTCAAACGGAGCAGGAGGCTCTCGCTGGGCCAAGGCCTGTCTGTAGGGTTTACATATGTCCTGGGCAGGTCCAGGAACATCAGCAGCTCCCACAG